ACTACTTGCGGCCTGAAACCAAGGAGATTTACAATCCACACAGCAAACCGAATAAGATCCACTAGAGAGAATGCTATGTGTTGGGAATTTCCTTGAGACTGAACCCAATAGATTTTCCAAAATTTATTTTCTTTCTATTATACTATGATATTAGCGTTATTTGAAGATTACGTAAAAGATATAGGCAACGGAATTTGAATTAGATGCTTCAGGGTGATAAAATTAAACAAATATATTTGAGTCATTTTAAATTCAAATATATCGATTTTTCTTGAAAGGCACACGATATATATTATTATCTTTTCTAAAACATCTTATTTTAACTTTTCCAATATTTACCCTTCTTTATGCTTAAGACTTTTCTATAACAATAGTTGCCTTTGAGAAAATGACAATGCCAAATTTTTACCTAACAACTGAGTAAATAAATGCATAAAATAAAAAAAAAACAGTATGGATTTTCCTAAAGCTGAATTATACACTGAGTGAGCCGGAAAAAATACTTCGTTGGCAACTAGAAAATTTCTTCAGTGTTTAATGAAACGGAATCGATGCTAATGGTAATGAAAATTAAAAAAATATACGTTTTATTCGTCACGTTTTTATGAGCCATCCTGTAAATTATGCATCCTAACAATCTTGACAACTTTTGTATTTACTATTCTGTATTCTGTATTCACTTCGGACATTTCCGGAATTTTACAGCACGGGTTGGGAGCAATCGAATACTTTCGGAGATATTTCCCACACTTTGAATTTTGACGTTTATCAATTCTGACATTCATCTACAAGTACTCTATGGTTGCATCACACATTGTACAAAGAAGCAGAGGACCACTACCAAAATGCTCGTTAGATGATATCGAGGCAAAGGTTGGGCGATATCGGCATCAGTTTGCCAGCTTTAAGGGGATCCTAGAGTGATCTTGGTCGAGAAGTAAAAGTTTTCAACAGCATCTGCAGTTATCTCTTGCACACTGTACTTTTCGCTTCTGTCGTTTGGAGCCTGGTATCACGTATACCAGAACAGAACAGAAAGATAACACCACACAAGAATGACATTTTTCTCCTGTGGAATCTGGGATATTAGCTAAAATACAATGTAGCGCCTGTACAATTTCAAATCATGCCTTTACCTATCATTGCCTTCGAATTATTTTTAATTTTTTCTATTTTACTCTTTATTTATTTTATTCTTTTTATGCTGAACTTGATTCATCGCAACCTCCCAAAGCAGTTTTTTTTTTTTCAGAGGATACTGCTGTGGGTTTATTATATTGGGTTGTTCGGAAAGTCATTTCGTTTTTTTTTTTGGGGAACATGAAAGACAGTTTTGGTATAATGAATAAATGATTTATTAAATTATATATTGGCCGTTCTGGTCCGACACCTTTTGCCATCTTTCTGGCAGTAACCTAATTCCCCTCTCATAAAAGTTTTGGTCCTTGCTGGCAAAAAACTGGTTCAGGTGGTTTTTGACATCTTCATTTGAGGTAAAGGTTTTGCCATCCAAAAAATGTTGCAGGAACCGGAACAAATAGTAGTCGGAAGGCGCCAGATCTGGAGAATATGGTGGATGTTGCAGTACGTCCCATTCAAGCTGTAAAAGTTTTTGGCGAGTGACCAAACTTGTGTGAGGTCTCGCATTATCCTGGTGGAACACTACACCCTTCCTGTTGATTAATTCGGGCCTCTTCTCTTTAAGTGAATCATTCAATTTGTCCAGTTGATGACAATAGACTTCTGAATTAATCGTTGTATTGTCCGGCAAAAGCTCAAAAAAACGATTCCTTTGACATCCCACCAAACGGAGAGCATCACCTTTTTTTGGTGAATGTTGGCTTTTGACACGCTTTGAGCCGGTTCGTCTTTTCTGCTCCATGACCTCTTGCGTTTAACATTGTTGTATACAACCCATTTTTCGTCCCCAGTAATAATCCGCTTCAAAAATGGATCATTTTCTTGACGTTTGAGGAGCGAATCACACACGTCAACGCGACGACACAAATTTCGCTCCGAAAGGACATGGGGCACCCACACATCGAGCTTCGAGGTTAAGCCCATGCCTTTCAAATGGCCATAAACAGTCGAATTCGATAAATTTAATCTCTCACCGATCTCTCGTGTGGTTATTCGCCGATTTGCATCAACTAATGCCTTTATCGCATCTTTGTCAGCTTCGACCGGCCTTCCAGACCGTGGTGCATCTTCGACATCAAAATTGCCTTCTCAATACACATCCGTCAATTTTTTTCTCGCTTGGATAGCATTTTTACCTTTTCTGAAGTAAAAAAGTAAAATATGACGAAAATGCTGCTTATTGCTCTCCATATTTAAAAGGGCACCAACCAAAAACTACTGCGTAGAATTAATAGAACTTTTTCACACACAAGCCTTGCGATATCAGCTCTCAAGACATATAAATGGTTATGCGGCTTAAGTGTGAAGTTGGTTTCGAAAAAACGTAATTAAGTCCTCCGACGGGAAAAAACGAAATGACTTTCCGAACAACCTTATATTTATGTCCCAAAAAGCAAATAAGAAAACACATAAATAAATAAAACCTAATTTTATGGTTTAGAACCCGCCTTTAATGTCTACCGAGCAAATCGTCGAACGCATTCTAAACGAGAACGATCGACAGAAAATTTTGATCAATCCACGTTTGAAGTCAACATCAGTCATTCAACATACATTCATTCAATATACATTCAATTCAATTCAATATACAGCTTCTATACGGGAAAAATTTTAAACACAAAGTTGTTTGCATGACACTATACAGGGTATCTCGTAAGTATCTGGGGAAGAGACGCCCTAAAAAACGCGCGTTTGTCCGCTTGTTTATTTCGCAAAGCAAAGAAACCCTTTGGGGGGGCTTTTATCGACTACGTTCATGAAATACCCGCGCCAGTTTCATGCCTCGTCTCACCAAAATCGACCCCGATAAGATAACCGACAAAAAAATAAATAAATAATAAAACCGATCAGCTTCGAAGTTTGATTAATAATCGATAACCCGACAGAAAACGAAGCCTCTTATCGATAAATTAATATTGACCTCGATATTATATATATTTTATACATTTTCGTAAAACCGAGGACCCAGTAGAAACGCGTTTACTGGCGAAAACGCGAAAATTGAGGAGGAGGTGAGAAAAAACGCAGCGGGAAATCCAAGGCCAACGCGATTGCGATTTATTAAACGACATACGATGTGTAGATGCGTGTGTGCGTGTGTGTGTGTGTGTGTGTGCATGTGTGACCGTGTGTCGTATTTAATAAAATTAGACGCTGCAGGCAAGAGTTATTATTAAAAAGCAACACATTTGGGCCAATCGTTGGATATAAAAGCCCACTTATGTACTATATATAACATTTTGCAAATTTTGAACATTTTAACAACTTTTGTTTATTTACAAAAATTTGCGATTTGTTTTAAGACTTTTCTGACTTTTTTGTTTTATTGAAAATTTAGTGCATTTTTTTATGTATTATTATTAATCTTAATGTTAATCTTAACGTTAAATAAATCATGGCCTACTCATAAAATAATTAAGACCTCACCTTACAAAGTGCGATAAAATATATTGTCCACTTGAGAGACTGAATTGAAAATTTTACGCTCTTTTCAGAAATCGGGATAACAAAAGACTTTATCCTACTAGTCTTAAAAAGTGTCTGAACAATGTCACACTTTGGCATAACTTAATAAATAATAAAAATTATCAAATAATAACTTCGAGTGAATTTTCAGAAGAACAAAGGAACAATTATGTCAAACCGAATCAAAGGTTGTGACTTTAAATGTAAAAAAATGGACAATCAAATTAATTTAATTAAATTAGTACTTGGAAAGAACGCAAGGACGACCATCAACCAACTGAAAGAAAAGCAAAGCCTTTGGGACTATTGGACTTCGGGCTTCCACTGGGGGGTACTTGGTACCGGGAAGAAAAAAACGTAAACCAGAAATGATAAAGGAGAAGAAATCACAAAACCAGAAAATGACGAGAGAAAAGAGAAGAAAAGCAATATCGCCGCATCATTACCATGTGAAGATAAACCGTTTGATGGGTTTGAACAATGGGCGGTAAATGATGACTTGAAGAATCCCTCAGTTGCAGATTTCGAGGCAGGTCGATCGCTTGCATCGCAGGTGCAACAAGTGTAACGTTTGTTGGCGTTGAAATAAATTAATGCCAAAATAACTAAAAAAAAAAAAATTCAAAAATAAAAAAAATACTTCGCGTTATTTTATTACTCCCAATTTAAAGAGTCTAAATGCGGGTCCAGACTTCTACTTCTCTCCCAATGCTGAAGTCGGTAGCTGCCACTTTTTGGAGTAATTATTATGTTTTTTAATATTGCACGGAATATCGCGAACACCCTGTACCATACTTAAAATACAAAAGTTTAAGCTGTCTATATGGGCTATATCGCCATGTAAAAGAAACTGACATCTAAAACACAGATTTGACAAAGAATGCCGGAGCACAGGTGGCCAAAACTAAGACGGGGGACTGGAATGTAAAAGAAATGTGGAGGAGAAAAACGCCGTAAAGGAAAATGCCGAAGAAGAGCTATTTGTTACATATCTAACGAAAAGTTTGCGTAAAACAGTATTTTAATTAACATTCGCTGTAGGAACTATGGGAGCGGAGATCCCTGAATAGAAAAGCGAATCTGGGACCCACTGTATAACAATGATCGTCTCTTGTAGGGTCGTGAAGATAAATCACGCCGAGATGGTACACTTTTAAGTGATATATAATTTCTTAAGAAATAACGCCGAAAAATAAAATGGACTAGAGCTTTTTTTATTATGGCACTTTAAAGATCATTTTTAGCAATAATTTTGACTTTTTTATAGATTGCAATTCAAATCACAGCGAAGTCCACTTAAATTTGTGTAGTTCGATATATGTATTTACAAAATAAAAAATAACAAGTTTCAAAAGCGTCCAAAAAAAAAAAATAAGAGGCGTCCGCACACCTACCTCCCAGTCCGGGCTTGTTAACCGGCTGCTGTCCGAACTTGGATATCCAGCGCAAAAATCTGCACGCGCTCTGCGCGGATTCGCGGCACGCGGGCGACGTCCTCTGTAGAACCACCGCCGCCAAACCGCCGCCGCCGCCGCCCGCCTGATCCGAACCGAGCGACAACGGCCTGTACTGGCTATAGGGCGACATATTATATCGCGGCTGCATCAGAGTTGGCGAACTCGCGGCCCATATTTCGTCGAAAAACAATAGAAAACGCCAACTTCGTAGCAACCCGCGACGCGGTCGCACATTTAAAATCGCGCACGCGCACACACGACGCGTCGCGGTAGGCCTCGGAAATCGAACGAAGACGCGGAACGCGTGGAGACGAAGAAGGAAGCGGAGATCACCTGTTACGACGACGCCACATAGCGCACTGACGCGCGCGTGCGATTGTTGTTAACAATTAACGTCGGTACCGCGGTGGTTGCGCCTGAGGTGGGGAGGGGAACGACGGGGCGAGGCCGGGAAAGGCGGAGTCGGCACTTCTTCAACGTTCGACCAGGGTCCGCGTTATTTACAAGTACAATACGACCAAAAATATAGTGTTTTAAGTATTTTACAGTACCTTAAGATGTTTATTCTGCATTAAGTATGTCTTGCCCGAGATAAACCTTAATGAATAATGTAAATACTTGAAATTTTTATTTGAAACGTAAATGGACCGTTTTAAATTTGTTTAAGCATGATGCTGTAGGGTATTTTCCAATAATTAGAGGCGTTTATTATAATGATAATGATATGTATCATTGTTAAGGGTTAAATCCAAATTGATATATGTTCGTATATATTAGAGAGGTATTTGACTGTGCTCCTTCCAGTACGTATTTATGTACCAGATTCTCGAGCTTTGACCCTGAAAGCTGTTATTCACTGGGTAGTTCAAAGTTTAGACATTACCCATTTATTAATTACCTTATATACCAAAAGTTCCGATTCGGAAAGTCTTTTACGAGTTATCTCTGACTTATTTTTCAGAAATTATGAAATTCAAAATTATAACTTGTTTTTCGGGAATTCGGATTAAAATTAAAAATTCTGACTGATTAAAATTAGAAATTCTGACTAATTTTTCAGAAATTTATACATCAGAGAGTCTGACTTGTTTTCCAGAAATTCGGACTAAAATTAGAAATTCTGACATATTCTTCGGAAATTCTGACGAAAATTAGAATTTCTGACTTATTTTAAATAAATTCTTACTTGTTTTCCAGAAATTCCGACTTATTTCTCAAAAACTCTGACTAAAATTAGAAATTCTGATTTATTATCCAGAAATTATAACACATTTTTCAGAAATTCTGACTGATTCTTCAGAAATTCTCATTAAAATTAGAATTTCCGCCCTATATTTCAGAAAGTCTGACTTGTTTTCCAGAAACTCGGACTAAAATTATAAATTCTGATTTATTCTTCAGAAATTCTGAATAAAATTAGAATTCCTGACTTATTTTTCAGATATTCTGATTTGTTTTCCAGAAATGCGGACTAAAATTAGAAATTCTGAATTCCTTTTCAGAATTTCTGACTAAAATAAGAAATTCTGACTAATGAGCAATTCTGACCTATTCTTCAGAAATTCTCACTTACTCTTCAGAAATTCTGACTAAAATTAGAATTTCTGACTTATTTTTCAAAATTTCTTACTTGTTTTCCAGAAATTCTTACGTATTTTTCATAAATTCTGACTAAAATTAGAAATTCTGACTTATTCTTCAGAAATTCTGATTTATTCTTCAGGGATTCTGACTCATTATTTAGAAATTCTGACTAAAATTAGAAATTCTGACTTATTCTTCAGAAATTCTGACCAAAATTAGAATTTCCGACTTATTTTTCAGACATTCTGCCTTATTTTCCAGAAATTCGGACTAAAATTATAAATTCGGACTTATTTTTCAAAATTAGAAATTCATAGAAATTAAATAAACTAAAACCTATATTTTATTTCTCGCAACCTATAAGCTCTTTCATGGTAAGCGGTCAGATCGGACGGAAAGCGATCTCGGAGCGTCGATCGCGTCGTCGCGACATTTCCGACGAATGAAACGCGCGTATATATACCAACTGGTCTCAGCGTGCCTTTCTCGAAGGCAAAACACGTTAATTACACAATTCCTCGGCAAATTAAGCGTACAGAAAATGCTCGACCCGTCATCTAATGGCCGATAGATAAGTATAATCGGGGTAACGGTCTCTTTTTTTTTAAGTCATTTTACGAAACGGCATCTCCTGCCGTGTCTTCCAGAAACAACTTGGCTACCGTAATGGATCGTAAAGTTAACTTTCTGTGAAATGCGCCTCGCACAAAGCGCCGTCCCATTAGCGCACGCAAAGGATAGTTGAAGGACGTATCACCCACCGAAACTATGTCTAACTTCGAAGCCGGGGGTTGTCATCAACCCTAGCGATTTAAGCGGGATGCTTTCGGATTTTTTACTAAACCCACCGGCTCCCTCGCCCTTAAACAAATCTTCCGCTTTTCGACGAATAAAAAATACATTAATTTAAATTTTCAACCTATTTCTAAACACACGAATTGAGTTCAATTTCAGGCACGCAATGAACATAGATAAATACACCTTAATAAGAAGAATAATAACAACAATAACAACAAGAATAATAAAAATAATAACAATAATAATAATGTTACCAATTCGGACAAAAAAAGAGAGGAAAAACAGAAGTACATAAAATAAGTAGTAACTAATATCAAACAAAAATATAGCATAGTGTTGCCTCGGGAATCAAACAATAGGAAATTTGTTTATCAAGTAATTTTTGAAAAGTTTAGTCGTTTGAGACTGCTTAAGTTTGATATTTTATTTGGAGCATTGTCTTATGTTTCCCGCTTAAAAAATTACGATTATGATATATAAATTTTAACATTAGGTGAACATTTAGAAATATGCTCTGAAAAAAAAAATATATTAATCTTAATTAATAAAATTAAATTTTCCCCCTTGAATGGTCATATATTCTTTGCATTGGCATCATGATAAAAAAAGCTATAACAATACACTTTCTTTTCTTTTTTATTGCGTAGCAGAACATTTATATTGCTACTAATAAATTCTACTTTGCCCTCGGTATTGTTTATATCATAAATGTTATTCCAGCAAATAGATATTTTTTCAAATCTCACGATGTTTTAAAAATAGAACCAGTTTTTTTTTTATATTTTAAATGGTCTCTTATATGAGGAACTAGTAGAACTCCGAAGTCATTATGTTCGAATACGTAAATTAATAAATAAATTAATAAAAAAATAAAATAAATATTATCTAAAAAAACAATTATAGTCGTACGTTGGGGGTTTATAAACCACCGAAAGTGCAACCAGAACTTAATGACGCGTACGCTGCGTGTTATTTACAGAGACTACGTGTCATCGATATTCATCTTAATCAAAATAAGCTCTAATAACGGACTAAACATTTCAACATTTCAATTTTAAAAAGCAAAAATTACCATAGAGAAATTTGGAAGATCTCAATTTTCTTTTACTTGGAAATTATGTAATTGTTTGTTGGTAAGCAGAAGAATATTTTTTATTTTAATGATTGGTGGATTAACGCCCATGTGGTTATAGATAATACCAGCCATCGTTCAAGATCCATAGGAAAAACACCATCGTCGTCTTGAATGAGACTCAAGACCAGCAAATATATTGGATTTGGACTCTCCGTACCATAAGACTCATTAATAAAGGACGTCGGTCATATCTCAGGAACCATGAGTCCTACAACTTATAAAAAATATTTCAATAGACCAAGAAAAAAATCTGAAAATTATTTTCAAGCTCATAAAATGGCCGCTAGGGCACGCAACTTCTAATGCAAAATAGAAAATGCGGGTTTTCTCAAGAATATTCCAAATTAACCTATATCAGACTTAGTTTTAACCTAATCTACTCTAGATAACTTTTTTGTTTGAACATTTTTTTCTATCTCGTCAAATTAAGGGTGGGGAAGTGTCAAATATCGATTAGTTTTAAAAAGTATTTATAGGAGCTTCCACTCACGAGTCAATATCACGATATTAATTCTTTTACGAAACGGTAGGAGGCGGGTCATGTCAAAAACAGCTACTTTTATGATTTTATTGAACATTTTAAATATAATAGTATAACTATTTTTAGCTACCATGAAAGAGCGTAAAAAAAAACACAGCAAGTAGTGGAGATACATATAAAAATGTGTTAATTAAACGTATATTTCAACCGTAGCATAGTAATAGTACCAGTGACGACAAAAGTGACGTGGGTTGCTTATATTTTCTACTAGAGTTAAATTTGATTTTGTCCTAATGTGTCCATAATAATCGCCAATAGCCAATAATATTTAAAAAATAAATCGTCAATATAATTTATTAATATATTACATGTCAATATTGGAAACAAGGGTAAAATAACTAAGTAGGCTTAGCGGTTGCCATGGTAACGGCAACATTACTATGGAACCCAGCCCAAACATCAATTTATTGAGGCATTTTCTGAATAATTCTTTCTAACCCAATTTCCTCCCAATAACGTTTTATATATAAAATAAAATAAAACAAGTATCGAACCTTTACTATAAATTATTATCCCGTCATAATACGTCACCTCTTGGTTATCTCTAATACTGCTTCTATTATACTACTTGCTGTGTTTTTTTACACTCTTTCATCCTAGCTAAAAATATTAATACCACTGTATTTGAAATTTTCGAGAAAAATCACAAAAATAGCTGTCTTTGATATGAAGCCTAAAAAAATATTATTCAACTTTTTCTAAACCAATATTTGACCCATCCCCCATCCTTAATTTGACGACATAGAAAAAATATAGCTCAAACATAGAGTAGATTACGTTAAAACTAATTTCGATCTAGGTTAATTTGGAATATTTTTGAAAAAATCCGTTTTTTCCATTTTACAGTGGAGATTACGCCCCCTGACGGCCATTTTATGAAATAATTTCCAGTTTTTTTCTTGGTCGATCTAATTTTTTTTTTCAAGTTGTAGGACTCACGGTTCCCGAGATATGGCCGTGCTTTATTAATAAGAACAATTCAACCATGAAACATGGACAACTTTTTATTTTCCCGTACACTTTTGCATTTTCGTCATGATTCAAATTTTACAAAATTATATGAATTACATGGCGATTCAAACCAGTAAAGTCGTGCTTTTCGCATCGATCAAAGGAGATCAAAAAACGGTACCACCGACGCCATATGGGATCCGTGGCCGCTAGGAGACGATACTACCATCGATCGGTTGCTCGTCTATTGCACGGCCCGGAAAAGGTAATGAAACAGTTACGTAAAGTACACGTTGAACATAAAACTCGAAACGATCATTCGGTTTTTATTCGAGAGACGATAATTTTTACAAAGGCAAAATTCGTAGTATCTGCGGTAAAGTATGAATTTCGCCAGGCTATCGCGTATCGACTTTCACAAGTACAACCTTCGATAGCTCAGTTGGTAGAGCGGTGGACTGTAGAGGCATGCACCCGTTGACATCCATAGGTCGCTGGTTCAAATCCGGCTCGAAGGAGATCTTTTTTTTTGCTCGCGAAAACATTCGAAACCATTGGATGAACATTTAAAATACGATCCCGCAATCTAAACGCACTTTCTAAGCGTTTTTGGAGGTTAGAGCTTTTGCGGCGGTGTTTGCGTTGGGGCCCACGTGTTCCCGCATCTGACCCACTTCCATAGTCATTTTGTTTGCATTCCTAATGGCCTGTCTTGTCGACATAACAAAGTGAACTCGTTCTGGTTTGCGAGGGCGACTTTGGCCGATATTTCCCAAATCAATTCTCGATGAAAAATGACACGCGAGTGGAGTGTTTGTATTGACATTTTTTTTTTCGACTTACAAGTTCGGTCCAAATGAATAACTGATTCTATACTTTTCGCAGGGCTGCTAACTATTGTGCAGACGTAAAATTAATAAAACATCCGAAGCACCCCTTGCTCCAATGTGAAACCAAATCGTTAATATACCCCAAAATTTGTACATTTTAACTCATTTGACCAACCTTGACAAACCGTGAATCGACTCCACATGACTTGGTCCACTTCCAACACAATTTGCGCAAAAATGTTTCATCTTCTTTTCTATTCCCAAATGTAAATGTTCAATATTAGCAAGCTCTTTTACTTTGCACTCGTACCATTTTCGAATCCCTTTAATGTCAGAAATAAGTCCCGATTTGTTTTAATCAAATTCATATTGGATCCAGTTTTCTAAACAAAATTTTTTAAATTTTATATTTTTGTGATCGTAATACTCCAGCAATTATATTGAGATTATTGGTAAAGCGAATCCTCTCGAATATCAAATTTTGTAAATAAAAAACTTAGATGTTGATATATTTTTACCAAATTTGTTCATTTTGTTACTATATTTCTTATAAAAAAGACGACTTATTTTTTGTAAAAATTTCAAAAAACCATTAATCAGTATTAGGCAATCATATAACAAAAATATTTACTAAAGTCAACATTTCATACTAGATTGTTTTTATATGTGCTTTTCATTGGCATTTTCATTTAAATATTAGTAAACTTTGCAATTTTTGAGACACTTAAAGCCACAAAATTTAACGCGTAAAGATATCTATCACCAAAAATTACAATAAATGATAATAAATGGACTTCTTTCTAAATAATTGTGAATTTAATTCTAAAAATATAAAGAACATTTTTTGGTCTATGTCTCTGATATTATAGTAAGCCAGCTGTGACCCGAAACTAAAGTAACGGAGAATATCGCACCTAAAAAAGCGTGAAAATCGGGCCAGAAAATTGCTTTTTTTTTTCAACCGTGCAAGAGAGGCGGAAGTCAATCAAGGTCATAAGCAAAAGCGTTTAATGGCGGTTCGAATTCACCGACGAGAAAATGGGACAGAAAACAATGGACAAAGTTCGGCCGCGTGCGTGCCCTGGCACCGCAGAAAAATACAACAATGGGAAAACCGCAACGCTGAAAGGATTTATGCGTTAACTGCCAAACCGCATTAGTTCGATAGCTGTAGTTAATTCCTCTGGCTAAAAGATGTAGGAAGAACAATAAAACTGTGTTTTGTTGCTAAGAATCACAAAAATTTTAAAACAAAACATTTTCTTTGTATTATTATGTTTAAACAATTATATTCGCGCTTCATAATGTAAATAATTAGATTAATAATTATGATTTAACTCACAAAATCTTGACAGTTTACCGGCATATTACTAATCCACCCAGAATGGGACCACAAGGACTGCGTCTCCACACAAACAGTTTTGACATAATATTTATCCTCGTGTCAAACAAAACCCCGTTTTTTGGGGTTATATTTCACAATAAATGAGTTTCTCGCACTTGGACTTAACGAAAGCACGAGTAAATGCCGTAAAATAAAGACTTACCTTCTGAATTTAACGGGGTAATGGTGGTGGTTGAAGTAGGAGCCAGCGCAAGAAACTGGGGGCACAGCAAGCCCCATTCAACAAACTAAGGCCTTTGAAAACCTGAAAATAAAATGATCCTCGTCCATCTTCCTGTTTCTGCATTTGACCATAACAATGTTAAATTGATTAAAAAGGTGAATGTACCAAATCGAATTGGAGACATGACCTCATGCATTGTTCATTAACAGTTATACCAACGTGAAGGCGGGCGAAATCGGAATCGGCCGGCGATCTTTACAGCACGAAAACGGCGTTAGCGTACAAATAGCAACAACTCTGTTTGCAATATATAAACAAAGGTTGGATTGAAAATATGAAGGAAACGTTAAAAATGTTCACCTTAAAATCCCTGTATAGTTCACTAAAAACAGTTCATGATAACTACTTCACCTGCTATTTAACTTTCACCATATTTTCCCGAAAATAATTTGCACTTTTCGTGGATAAACAAAAATTATTGTCAACGACTTTGTCAACCGCGAATGTTAGGTATTGACGGAGTTTTTCGAGCAACAGCGCCCCCTACGATGGAAAACCAAACTAACCATAGAATAAACCCTGAATTGACAGCAAGTGAATTTATATTATTACCTGTCAAAACATATCTTGGATGTGTCTCATCTGGGTATGTTTTAATTGATAAACATGGATAAATTAACTCTAATATCTGGTACGTTGTTCATGACCGCCGATATTTTCGCAATAGTAAGTTTGGCCAGACCAGATTGGATCATTACAGATGTTGGAGGTATTTTTTTTTATCACCTGGGATATTTCCGAGAATTCCGCACATTTTCTTTGTAGGTGATACAAGATTAGGATTAATGTGGACGTGTATGACTTTATATAATCGACCCCAAGTATGTTTCACACCGGATCTTCAGCCTGAATGGCTGCTGGCACTTGTGTGCATATTTGTTGGATGCATCTGCATAACAACCACCATTATTTTGCTGGCATCGTCTCACTGGGATCGTAATGTCGTCCCTTATGCTAGATGGGTGGGATTTACAGCAAGTAAGTTGCGTAATTTCCTACCAAAACAGAAAATAATTTATATTTGTTTTAGTGGTTCTCTTTTGCTTAGCTGCAGTGATTTTTCCAATGGGCTTTCATGTAGATGAAATAGGAGGTCAGCCCTATCAATTGCCCAACAGTCATCAAGTTGGGATATCTTATATTCTCTTTGTTCTGGCGCTTTGGATTACCGTAATATCCGAACTATTTGCAGGCAAGGTCTGTCTTCCTCATTTTTGACGTTGCTGTTGCTATTTTGTGTTTTTGTTACTCATTATCTACGCTGTATATTCTTTTTTGGCAATGAAGGGTGACGATTCTTTTAGTAGTAAGTTTAACTCGTTAGAAATAGAATGTAACACTCGTTTACTTTAAAAGGACATTTTACAATTTTATATGCATAAGGCTAATAATCTCTTGAAAATATGACGTTCTAGTCATTAGGTTGATCTTAGAAATGAATCTAGAAGTTGAGCTAGGGTCTCACTTTTGGGAGTTTATCCAAAAAATGTTATAAAGACTCCAGATTAAATTTATTGTATAAAAATAAAATATTATTATAAATCGAATTTTCTTCTACCAGCGGCCTCCATCGTGTGTCTTCTACCATCTTTTATCCATTCGTACTGTCCAAATTTGCTATCAAAAGTACCTTTTTGCAGAGACTTTAATTTTAATGTAAATCTTGGTCCCAGTTCTTTTAATCTGGCTCTTTTACCTTCCGCATCAAAACCATACCTAAAAGCACGTCTTTAGTAGTACCAAGACTGTCCAACCTTACACGTAAGTTCACCTATAGTGTCTAAAGAAAATAAAATCGCGCTGATTGTGAAAAGTAACAGCTCTTTGACCTACAAACTCTGAATCATAGTGAAACAAAGCTCCCAACATTCTTGCAACAGTCCAACCCAATCTCGTAGTAAAGTTATTTAATATAACTTCTGGTCTGTGGGCTGTAATATCTTTATGATTTTTTCTCAATTCGGTAGTTATTCTCACATTAGTAAGTTTAAAATGTGCAGTCGGCCCATTTGGAAGATGTATAACCAAAAGACCGTCAGGTTCCTTTCTATTTTCATTAATTATTAAAATATCGGTATACTCATTTTTAATGGCGCTGCGGACCATTTTCTTAACCCCAGAACGGTTCCTATACAATGCTGTTGAATTTGGAATAATTCTGGTTAATTCCCGGCCAAATATTCTAGTTTTCTAAAAATATGTCCTAGAATACAGACACACTAAGTTAGAAAAATGTATCACTCACTCTCATAGGATTATCAGCATAACTGATAAGTATTTTCGGCTCATATGTGTGTTTGTAATAGTCATTGAACTCATCGTGGTCTAAGTCTTGTCGAATCAATTCATTCTCTTCCTTCTCTAAATCAACTACAGTCTCGTCTTTGATTCTCAAAGTGTCTATTGTATGAGGAACCTGCTTAGGCTGCCCTGTTAACGCCCGTTGCTTTTTCTCTTCTTTTTTGGCCTAAACATCACAATGAGCACAAAAAATAATCAAAATATTCTAGGTCACCTTTTTTTGAGCTTTCTTGGCTTTCTGGAACTGTTGGTTTCGAACTATTTTATTTCTAATATGCGAATATTTTGTTTCGCTTGGAAACGTAACTGTGCCACTAGTTGAGGGTTTGATGTCCTCGAGTTTTACCTTTGCCTCTTCGTCTGGTTGTTTTTCATCTTGTGAGCCCTGCATATCGCTAATTTATAAAACCGATGCCGTACTACTTCCCGTTGATACAACCTAACCAAAATGATTATTCTTCTTCTTGAAACTTACGGTACTAACATGTTTCCAATTCGAAGAAGCACTTCTTCTTTTATCCATGGAACTGAGAAAGAAGACGATTTTAAAGAAAAAACCTAATTTTCAGTAGTAAAATAGGAATTAAAATTCTTATTATAAAATTATATGATAAACACTGTGAAATAAATTTTTGTATTGCTATGGATGATATTATGAAAGAATCGGATCATAATAATATAAGAGCTTTAGATAATTTGAAATATGATTTTTCTGGGACTCATTCAGATGAAGATGATGATGTAGTAGATTCCTCCAGCCATAATATAACAATTCAATCCGACCTGAATTACAGCTCAAGAGACGTAAAGACGGAAATAAAACAAGAAGAATTAGATTTGGGTGTCGATATTATAATGCCCGAGGCTTCAAATTCAAACCTCTCGAACCTCACCAGTAATCCCACAAAACCCAAAAAGGAGATGAAGTCTAGAAGAGAATTGGAGGAAGAAGAAAGGGAAAAAATGCAGTATGCATCAAAAATATACTGGAGAAATTTATTATTTTAATCACAATTTTTAGAGTTTTAGTATCAAATTTTACAGAGGAACAATTGGACCGATATGAAATGTATAGGAGGTCAGCGTTTCCCAAAGCGGCAATCAAAAGACTGATGCAGACAATTACCGGATGCTCTGTGTCGCAAAATGTTGTTATAGCTATGGCGGGAATTGCCAAGGTTTTTGTCGGGGAAATAGTTGAAGAAGGTGATAATTTTGGGCAGTTGGGGGAGCTGTTTATATAACAAAAATGTGCCCTAACTTAGGTTTGGACGTTATGGAAGAATTGGGAGAAAGTGGGCCCCTGCAACCCAAGCATCTTCGAGAGGCAGTCAGAAGGATGAGAAGATCAGGAAATATTCCAAATGGAAGAGATTATAGATCTCATTTTAGACTTTAATTGGATTCTTTTATATTATACATTTTTATTTTTAATTCGATCACATTATTTATCAATACCAATTATTTAAAAAATATCTTTTGAATTTTATATATTATTGTGACCCATATTTGAATATATTATTTTACTATCAATTGGCCAATTTATTTAAGTGGCACCATTTTACTGCTTTTTAAGTCTCTACCTACTGCCAATTTACAATTAGAAATATTAATGTAAAAAGATGCTAATTAAACCGGAAATATTTTAATTTATAGAGCTTATGATACACTAAGAAGTTAAGCAACTAGGGGCATTCAAATCAGTAAAAAAAAAATTAAAAATAATTTGCAGATTTTTTTCTAACTTCCCATGAAAGGAAACGCAAAATATGATTTAAGGATGCTGAATCATTTGTATTACATCTCGTTGCACTCGGAACTCTCAATTTATTATCAAACGCAATAATCGTAATTTTATGGTGGAGGCCAACGATCTTTTCTTATCAGCGCAACAGTGAAAAGAAATATTATCACAATTAACCAGTGCCGTGGGCATGATACAAAATGTATGCTAAATATTCATAATTGGATATGTACGAACTGACGCGAGCGAATCAGAACACATTTGTTTCAAGGGTTTAAAATATTAATAGAAATCAAATGCGACAAAAATGATCGGTCAGTTTAAAATCTAATTTTTTGTACCAATTTTTTGTACCATCCGGATTTTTATATTTTTGGCGGTTGATTGGTTTTGGTTCGATTTATTTCAGACAACTTTGTATTTGTTATGTTTTGAATTAATTATATTAGAGGTAAAAAAATTAGGAAATCATTTTATACACGGATACAGAAGAAAAATACTTACCATTAGACAAATACACCTTACAATAGGTATAAAAATTAGAAATAAAATTATGAAATAATAAAATAATCATTTTTGTAACGGTTTTCTATCAACAACGCCCCTGTGTAAGAAAATTATAAGTTACGCTTTGGGCGTTAGACCAATTTAAAAATAGATGGTAAACTTCTTGGGATTTGGGAGTATTTTTAAACCCGCATATCTACGCTGCCACTGGAAGTAGTCATTAAACCGTTAATCGCCGAAGAAACTGAAAATAGTATGGATTGGCCTGCCTGCAGTGCCGATATCAGATGAGAAAATTACATTTTTGACGTTTTCTTTTTTCTTTTTGAGGTTTGGTCCTCCCGCGAAAATCATGGTACACGTGAATAATTTTTTAGTACTCTCCGTTGTATTTTTGGGTAAGTTTTTATATTTTTTGCTTTTGTCTATTATTTAAAAATTATCCCAACATTGAAAATTTTTTGTTAATTGCATTTCTGTACCTTATGCGAGAGTAATAAAAAACGTTTCAGGTGTTAAATTTTGCATATCCTGCGAAAACGGACAAACCAAACAGGGATGTCTAATCAGGAACCTGGTGTGTTCCTGTGGGATAGGATGCGTTTCCGACTACAGATATGATACGATCCACGAATGCCAGAACGCACTTAGAGGTAACGAATCGCGCCTAGCGAACAACCAACTCAATGTCATTTTTTTTGTAGGTAAAAAGAAGGACATCTGCAAACTGAACAACCCCTGTCAACACGGAGGCACCTGCATACAAATTTCCCAGCAGCCTGGTTACAAATGTAGATGCGAGGGCACCGGCTATTTTGGAATGAGATGCAACAGAGGTATACAGGGTATCTTTATAACTAAAAGTTAATCTAAGTTGGTAAATTTTTTCATATGAGCTTTGTGCTGGTTCTCGTGACATTTGGTAGATTTATTTGTTGTATCAAGAATCTAATATCCTTGATAACATTGATTTATTTTCCCCTAAAGACAACTTATCGATACTTTTAAAAAAATGGACATCCCAAAGTTTTTTTTCAAATTAAGCAATTAAAAAGGACAAAAAAATACTTTGATCAAATTCAGCAAATGAGCGTTTATATAATATAGATTAAAACTATGATCATAGGAAATTTTACTAATAAATTATATAAATACCGACGACACTCTATATATAGGTAGGTAGTACGTCACACTAACTGATCCTAAATTGGGTTAACGATCAGTTAAAGCTCAGCGCTCATACGCATCTCGAAATATGCCTACAGTTTGATATAATTCGAAAATCAAAATTATTTTGTTTGTGAAACGAGCGCGGTATCAAAACAGGAACTCGAGCCGACCGTTAAAAACAAAGGAAATTTTATATAGGCTTTAGATTTATTACATTTTGATATTCATGTTAAGGCCACACTATAGGTTATCGTCGCGGGAAGTCTTATTTTTAACGTTGTAAAAAACGGTCGCGTAAAAGGTAATTTCCAAATGAAAATAGCACTTAGGTTTTCCGAATAACACACACCTAAAGACAATTTTTCTAACTTTTGCCATTTATATGCACCGGTCAAGCTTGCGGAAAGCGTCACTTTGTGCATGGACATTCGGGCATTTCCGTTACGTTATTCGATCGGATGTTTTCGGTGCAATTTTGACGGTCGCACGTCACAGTGTATGTATTGCCGCGATTTTGCAAACCGATTAATATCGTCAAAATTAAAAAAATTCCAAGGACTGATTGCCATGACTGCAAAACACATGATTAAAACCTCTAATCTGATTGGTTGAAATTTGGAACAAATGCGATTCTAATGCATTAATGATAAAAAAGGTAAATATTTTTGTATTTTTCTAGATATTTTTTTTAAGAAAAAGTAAAATGACATTATTCATATAGTTCACATCCGATTATTTTATTTATTAAGAAATTCAAATTAGAAAAGTCAAGAAACATTGTTCTAGAAACTTTAAGAAGTATCTAATCCACACCCTGCAAGGACGCCAAGGATATATTTTTTAAAATTTTACATAAATAATGTTGATTCTAACTGGCAGTGTACCGAATTTCATAGGAAAGTTTCGGAAGTTATTAAGGTTATAACGAAAGAAATGTAACAACCTGTAGTTTTTTCCTAAGGATGTTTTTTCTGAAACTCCAAAAAATGCGATTCTAGTGCATTATTCATATAGTTGAAATCCGATTTTTTTTTAAGAAATTCAAAAAAGAAAAAGGTCAAGAATTCAACATTTTCCTAGAAACTTTGAAAAATATCTAATCTACACAGTGCACGGACGCCATTGATAAATTTTTTAAAATTCTAAATAAATAATGTTGATTCTAATTGGCAGTGTACCAAATTTGATAGGAAAGTTTCAGAAGTTATTAAGGTTATAACAACCTGAAGTTTTTTCCTAAGGATATTTATTCTAAAACTCCAGAAAATGCGATTCTAGTGCATGAATTATAAAAAAGTAAATATTTTTGTATTTTTCTAGATATTTAAAAAAAATGACAATGACATTATTCATACAGTCGAAATCCCATTTTTTTTAAAGGAATTCAAATAATAAAAGGGCCAAGAAATTAACATTGTCCTAGAAACTTTGAAAAATATCTAATCCACAAATTTCATAGGAAAGTTTCGGAAGTTATTATGGTTATAACGAAAGAAATGTAACAACCTGAAGTTTTTTCCTACGATTTTTTTTTATGAAACGCCAAAATGTGATTCTTGTTCATGAATCATAAAAAAGGAAATATTTTTGTATTTGTAAAAAGGTCAAGAATTCAACATTGGCTTAGAAGCTTTAAATAATATCTAGTTCGCACCCTACATGGACGCCACTGAATTTTTTTTAAATTCTACATAAACAATGTTATCGATGCTAATTGGTCGTGTACCAAATTCAGAAAATGAAACGCCCTGTATACTAACCGTACTTTTATATTTCAGCATGCCCGGTGCCGGGAGCTGGCAGGATAGGCGACATCTTCCCTTACGAGTGCATCGTAATATGATACCGGCCCCGTTGTTCTCCATTATGTTTTACAATAAAACACAGTCTTACATAATGGTTTCACTTTATTCCTTTTAAAATTAAAACAACGTTTACAAATAGGGCGATAATCCACATTCATTAATTTGTATGTAGTTTTCCTTTGTTATCCTTAAATGAAAAAAAAAAAACTGCATCACAGTACCCACACCCAGCGATCGCTCTGCTATTCTCACCCCACCATACGATTTGTTTAAAAATTCAATTAACCGATAAATAAATAAGTCGGCCAAGGCTCGATAGAAAAACGACTATACTATCACAGTGGGGGTCCAACAATATACAAAAAAAAAGAACGGCATTTTTAATTTTTTAGGCCACTTTAAGCTATCGTCACCGCCAACGAATGGCGACACAATTCCGAAACCTCTTCGTTTTAGAAAATCCTTACCTCTACGAACATTAGAATATTCAATTTTATAGCACACGTTTGCGGGCAAAGTTTTGCCGTTAATCATTGGACATAGTCCCTTAAAAACGCGACATATACAGAACGGTCATTTTTTTTATTTATTGCAAAAAATCGCATTTTTTTTTATTCGAAGTAATTAACATTTTCATCCGATTTTCGCCCCAATAAAAATGTATTTACGAATAAACAATAAAAAAAAACTGAACAATGACTATCAATATCAATAAACTAATAACTTTTTAACGGCTTGAAAATCGACTCAAATGTTACCCAGTTTATCCGCCGTCCTGCATGATTTTCGCGTTTTCACAAAAAAAAGTCAAAACAAGATTCACTTCCAGCGCGTTTTCTCACAATCACAAGCGACACGTAATTATCATTAGAGCCCATTATGAAAAACAAAAAAATACGCCGAGCTTTGGAAACATGCGCGCATCGTTATCGGTTCGCCGCGGGTACTGTAGGACACATTAATCGCTATATAGTTTCAGCTAAATATGATAAAAATACTCGCCGGATGATAGCAACATTTTTGATCCGACTTTTGCGTCAAAAAAATCACACTAAAAACCCTCAATCGAACCGAAAATATAACGGAAAAACCTTACGGTGTATACACATGATTTTCCCACTCGTACCGATGCAGTCTTCTCTAGTTTACCTCCCGTTCATATTTTTGTAGTTTTTTTTTTAATCTAATAACATTTTTACCCTAGGAATAAATTCATTGTATTTAATATATTTGTCAATGGATTATCTGTTTTTTTTTTGGATTTTTATTTCTTCAAGCGGCTGTTTAAATTTACACATACTTTTTTTTTACTCTTACGTCCTTTTAGTTCCGGACCGAACCTGTCATTATACTCGCCGTGATGAAAATGAAAAAAAAAAATTAACAGGTGGGGGCCTCTTCTTTTCAAAATTTCCGTTAAAAAAAATTACTCATCTGCGACCCGAAAAAGTATTATAATTGGGATTTACTCTCTAAATAAGACTTAATAAAAAATACACTATATACTTTGCGATTTCGTTTGTTGTTGTTTCTTTTTACTTTCCAAAGACAAAATCGTAGGTTAGTGGGCCTGGAAAAAAATCTCTACGGGTTTGGGTGCTTTTTTTTTTCAATTATTCCGGCACCGCCCCCACCAGGCGACGGGTCCTCGCTTCAGCTAGGAAGCCCTTGGTGTCGGGCCCTTTCGGTTGACGGATCGCGATCAGTTTCGGACCGGTGTCGTCCAATGAGATCGTCCTCAGCCTGCTAATCAGTCTTTCGGGTCTCGCTTGCACGTCGCTACAATAAAACCAAAATAACCCTCAGCCACCCGATAGAGATTAAAAATAGTTTCTGATGACGATATATATCAGGAACTTGCCTTATTAAAAGGAGAGGAAAACATGCAAAATACACAAAAAAAATTTTTTTCTAATTCATTTCAATATTCATTTTTCGCCCGCAATTATGGAAGTTACCTGCCAATAATACTCAGTTGCAGTAGGTATTAAAGGACAGAACATTAGAGACGCACTCTCAAAGGTTTTAGTAATAATATATATTTTTTAAACTTCGGGATTCCTCCTGGGTCGGTTTTTGTTGACTCGAACTTTCTAACGTTTCGCCAATCATTATGTTGGCTTCTTCTGCTTGAGCGGGCGGAGCTAAATTAGAGGCATAAACACCGTCTCGGATGAATGATTCCCATATTGGTGACAGGTGGAGGCCTGTCTTAGTCTTAAGGCTCTTTCATGTTCTTTGAACCTAGTTGATATTTTACGTCCAGTGTATTCTCGAGTGTCGTATATGCATGGAACGCTGTAAACTCCTGACATCTCAAATTTTATCTTTGACGAATAGAAGATTTTGAAAGATTTTTGTACAAGTCCTTTGATATGTGGTCAGTGATGTTTTCAATGTAAGGAAGGACAGCAGTGGCAAATGAGGGATTGCTTCGCTGAGATAGATAGATACGGGTCCGTAAACAAGAGAGTTGATAACCGATGATTTCTTAGGCCGGATGGTCATGTGGCATTAAGTATTGGTCTGTGTACGTAGGTTTTCTGTAAACAGAATGACCCAATGTTAGGTCTGATTTTCTATTGATAAGAATATCTAAGAATGTTATGTTATAAACGTGTATATAGTTTAAATGTCTAGGGAAATGTACTAGGGATTCTTGACCATGAAGCCAAATAACAAAAGTATCATCGACGTAGCGTTTCCATCATTTTGGTTTTATATGAAACGTCTCGAGAGCTTTCTCCTCAAAGGCTTCCATAAATATATTCGCTGGATGGCTGGTGATAGTGGAGAACCCATAGTTGTTCCTGACGTTTGTTCAAAAATTCATAAGAAAAATATATTTTTCAATTAAGGTAAGAAGGTTTGGTTGCAGATTTTTGGATTTTAATATATCTGAAATGATGGTGAGACTTTCAAGAATAGACACATAAGTAAAGAGGGTTTCTATGTCGAAACTAACCAATATATATATATATATATATATATATATATATATATATATATATATATATATATATATATATATATATATATATATATATATATATATATATATATATATATATATATATATATATATATATATATATATATATATATATATATATATATATATATATATATATATATATATATATATATATATATATTTATTTTTTTTTTTTTCACGTATTGATTCACGGATGGAAAAATGTGATGACACTATATTCCGGGATATCATCCGTTCGCTTGTTGAACTCCGACTGGAATCCTGCAGACGTTTCGCCAAAATCTCACTTGACATCTTCAATGCTCGCGCTCCGAAAACACTTCCGAGTGTTCGATCCACAGATGCTCCAGACGTAAAACAGTTTACACACTGTTTTTTTAATTGCATATAAATTCAGCACTTCCAAAAGTCGCGCTTTTTCCTAACTGAATATTCCTGATTTCAGTTTTTGAACTCGATGAGGCTTTGCGTAGCAGACGGCTGTGATAGTTTGCATGACAATAACACTGTTATTGGGAATATTTGTTAAGATTATTTTGAAACTAATTTTCAAAAAGTACGGCACTTGTATCCGCATCATAATCCAAGCTAGAATCCTTAGTATCATTTGCAGGCAACAGCAAGCAGTTTGGGACAAATCCGTCTGTGTGTTTCCATTACTACTTGCCTTTTGTCTATTTTACGGCACCTAAATCTCCTATGGAGCGTGGCACGGCTTATATTTATATTGGTTTCACCTTCTTCTAGCTTCTGTTTCAGTTTATCCAAGGTAGGACCAACTTCGCTTTGATAAAGACAATACCTTTTCCGTATTCTTGGCGTTTGTTGTTACTTTTAAAGCCTCTTGTTGAATAAGTAATTTACTGATTACAGTTTCGTACACATTTTTCACAACCTGTTTTGCCGACAAATGATTTCGAAATGCACAGTAAAAACGCTTTACTCAACACTGCCACAAATGGTCAAGAGTCAAGTGTGTCATAATGACGCAACGGTGACGTAACACAACTAAATAAATAAATAAATATAAATTTCATTGTGTTTTTAAAATAAATATAAATAAATAAATATATTTATATAAATTAAATTAAAATAAAATAAAAAAAAAATAAATTAAAATAAATATAAATGAATAAATATATTTTTATATATGATATATTAAGGTTGTGATGTTCTGATGAGCTTGGAATTTTTACCAATTTCAAGCAGCATTAAGCTGTCTACTTGTTGATGATCTCGCGATTATAAAAGCTGCCAATTTTTGAATAAATAAACGAAGGTTTCAGTCTACTTAAAATGTAAAGTAAATTATTACACCATAACTGTGACATGACACGCGTGTCGCAGCTAACACACGAGCTCATTTTTTGTGACACATTTTTTAAGATAAAAAAAATTCATAATTCAGTGACCACCGTTGGTTATTATTAGAATACATTTTTTTGGTTTTTGTATTTTAAAAATTGTAAATATTCCTTTTTTTTTTAGTTTTTACTTTAGTGATGTGTGACATTTTTCAAAAATTTTACAGCTCAAAACGTTGGCCACCACTAGACTGGCACCAATTATATATATATATATATATATATATATATATATATATATATATATATATATATATATATATATATATATATATATATATATATATATATATATATATATATATATATATATATATATATATATATATACATAAGACTTGTCGAGCTCCCTTTAACAATGTCGTCGATAATATCTACCCCTTTTTGAGGTTAAAATTGTATGTTAACGTTTACTTATCGAAAGAGATATTCATGATTGACCTTAAAATAAATGACATTAAAACAATGACCGACTTATAAGTGACGAATTAAACCAAAAATCGTTCTTTTAGATTCGAATTTCGCATTTTCTGTCAAAAATGACGTTCACTGATTATACGCGACTGTCATTTCGATAATTATTATTAATAACTGGGCACTTACGTCACTTTGACGACGTTGCAAGCGGACGATTTGCCGCTCCGGTGGTTGGTGACCAGGACGAATTCGACGGTGTCGCCGACGTTCAGCGTGACGTTGTCCTTCACTTCGGTCATGTGGAAAAACAGTTTCTTGCCCTCCTCGACCTCGTACGCGAGGAAACCGAAGTGACCTTTGATGGCGTCGACGGTGGCGCGCAGTTTTTTCCTCACCGCGACGATGTTGGCCGCCCGCTGCGTGGAATCGATTTGAAAGTGAACCTGATCGCCCACTGAAAAACACACCGCCCAATCGGTTGAAGATTCGTACGCGAATTCCCTGCATTTCTTCAATTTGCTTCCACAGAATAAGTTTTTCTACGGTAAATCTCGACGTCTGGGACCAAATGACAAAAATATTCGATATAGCAAAATAGCTAGGCAGAGATATGGAGATCTTTCAGCGTGACAAGAAAGTAGAGATTTGCACGACTACATTTTGAATTATGTTATTTTTTGGGTCGATTGGATGACGATATTCGAAAAATGATTAACCTAGGCTAACCTAACTTTTGTAGAAAGAAAAACAATACAAAAATTTAAAGAATAAGTAGTGTGATTTTGGCTATTTTTCGATTTTAGTTGTTCTAACCCGAAAAAACTTTTGCTTTAAAACAGTACGAAGAAACAGTTTAATAACCATCCGTAGGGCAATTTGAAATGTCTCATTTATGCATACTGATTACTCAGAAAATATACAACTTAATCTTTCTGAAATATATGATTTTAAAAGTTTTTTTTTTAAGTAAAATCTTTTAAATAAATTTAAAAATAAAATAAATAAAACGTGTTGACCTACTCAAAAAGTATAAGATAGAGGGGAAGGCTCCCATTAGTGGCAATGTTAAAAAGCGTACGGGAGTTTGAACGTACGGGAGAAAAACGGAAAACGTGCGGGACGTACGGTTCAATTCAATTTAATTCAATTACTTTACACCGTCATGACAGTACTTTAGTACTTGGACACAAGTACTAGATGGCGTCCGTAACAGTATACGCGACCTTCCCCTCTATCTTATACTCTTTGGGCCTACTATTGTACACAGTCTGCATTTTTGGTATTTTAAAATCCTCACTTTAACCATATAACACGTTTAAAGCATAAAGAGAATTAAATAACATGGATATTCAAACTTCAACAAGTTAAAAAAAATAGAAAAACGCGATTCCCATGTACGCCATATTAGTGATGACCTAGGATTGACGACTTTGGCTGAGAAATGTCAACGTCAAGGCCTCAAAGCCTCGGGCCTGGCTCGGGCGCATCTCGCATTTCGCCGCACGGAGTTGGTGGAAAAGTGCAAACCGGAAATAAGCGATACATATCAACAATGAAGATACATTTTAAATTCCCTAAAGTTTAAATTCGTCGTCGCGTTTGATGAACCCGGACAATTTGATGAATTTAAAAATGTGACAATATTTATTATTATTTATCAATTTATATAATTGCTACGGTTGACGTTTCGCCAATCCTCCTGTTGGCGTCTTCAGAGCTCGATTGAAGCTGTTATATATTGTTTGAAGGGGGAGGAGCCAAAGGAGGGACTTGAATATTTTCTCGGATGATTGGTTCCCTTATGGAGAAAGGTAAAGATCTCGAACGGAATTTTGTATTTGGCGTATCGAAGACAAGACAAGACGTTTTTTAAGAACTTTCGATATGTGGTCGGTGAATTTTAAAATTTAAGGAAGGGTAACAGTTAAAAGTATGGGTGAAATGTACTGGGTTCAGTGGCTCGGCTCAGTAAACGAGAGAGTTGATAACCGATAATTTTTGGGCCGGATGGTGATGTGAAAATGCATTAAGGATCGGCCGATCGAACCGTGTGGATAGGTTTTCTGTAAACAGAATGACGTTTAAGTGGCTAAGAAAAGTTTGGAGGGATTCTTAACCATGGGGCCAATATAGAAGCTTGGTATTTTCTTTGAGAATATGTTGAGGAACAAATGGTTCTGGCGAAGTCAGCAAAAGACGCAACAAGATTTGTAAATACCTTCTTTTTAAATTTCAAAATTTCAAAATGAAAAAATAAACTAATTTTTTTTTAATGTGTGAGTTTTCCTCTAACTAATCTCGACTCAATGGGTTTTGATTATTAATTATTAAAACTTATTGGGTCAATTGCTATTTGTAGGTTATATTTCCGATTTTAATATTTAGAAATAATAATTTAACAACTGAAACAACCATATAAACTGATTGACAAATCCGATCGTTCCAATCCTAGAGGACAGGTGACGTCGAACTAATATCTCATATCTGGCTCACCTTGCAGCAGTTCCCTTTTGTTGATCAGACCCATGATGCCGAATTCGTACTCCGCCGATTTCTCCTCCGGATCCTCCGTCCTAATTTTGATCAGTCCCGAGTACTCGGTCTGGTCCGGATTGACGGACCGCAGTGGGCGCACGACCACGCCCTCTAGGACGTCTCCGTTGACCGCGGGCAACTCGATCGTACCCTTCGGTATCACCTTGACGTTTTCGGCGGACGAGCACGAACCGGAATTGCCCCGGGTGCCCAAATTGTACTCAACCTCCTGGCCGAGCTCGAGACCGTTCGAATCGCCCTCGAAGTTGCTAAAGTGGAAAAACACCTCTTTGTCGTGCTGAACGGTCTCGATGAAACCGAAACCGTCCTTAAGGGCGGCGACGAAACCCTGATACACCTGACCGCTGTTCCTGTGCTTCACGCCGTTCGTCTGGATCGCAGCGGACTGGGTGATCTGGATGTTGACCGCCACGTACTCCTTCGTCCTTTTCATTTGATTGATGTCAAACCTAACCTGCGACGCACGACGAAGACGGGTCAGACCAAACGGTCGGGGGATGGGATGAGCCACAGCGTTCGGAATGAAGATATTACGAGCACATTAGGTTTTTTTAAATTGAAATATCCCTTTAAAACAAACTGCCCAACTAACGCATTTACAGCTTTTTACAAAACTTCTGGATTCCTCTTGCGTCGGTTTTTGCTTAGGTGAAAGTTTCAGTCAAGCTCTGAAGAAGCCAACAGGATGATTGGCGAAACGTCAGCAATTTCGACTAAGCAAAAACCGAAGCAGGAGGAATCCAGAAATATACACATACCGGATGACACAAGAGAGTGGGACCACTCCATAACTTTTAAACGGCTTGTGATAGCGATTTGGAAGGTTAATATAGCCTGAATGTAAAGTTTTTTGACAATATGTAGTCAGTTGCACTTCCGGTTTGGGCGCAAACGACAGTAACTTTCGAATTTTAAATGGCACAACCTATATATTTTGCATTTCTGCATTCAGGAGATTATTCTACAAAGGATAGAACGATTTTTCTCTTCTTTTAATTTTGAAAATTGTGTCAACATTTGTTGAGGTTTTATTTTCTAACAGATTTTCAAAATATTGTGTTGAATTATCCCAAAAAGTGACAGCTTTGAAAAAAAATATTTTATTCTGTTGTTCTTCTGAGTTTCCGATAAAAAGTGCTTGTAGCTTATGACGTACGTAAGTATTGTATGTTAGTTTTTGACTGTATCCTCGTATTCCAAGCGCATACCAAGTTTTTACCATAATAAAACACTTTCAACAAAAAATTCGCAGAAGAAACTCTCCCTTAAATTTAATTTTTTTTAAAATACTAATCTGTTTTCTCTTTCAACTGCATGAGAGTTTCTTTTTTAATCTTAGCGACTTAATAATGAATAGTAAGTAATATTTTGTTTTTATAAAAATGTATTTACTTATTGTTTTTCCTTCCTGTGAACTGATTTTATAACGCATTTCGAAAATGTTCAATGTGTTAAAATTTTGCAAAAAAAGTACCGGTTTTAAAAAGTTTTTGTTCCCACTAGGGTGCCATTTGAAAAAACCGGGTTATCCCAAAAAAATAAAAGTTCATTATATTAAATGCTATTTGCCATTAGACAAGTAGAGAAAAGTTTCATTACACAATTTTTTCCGTGATCAGATGAGCCAGTAAATAGTATTTATGATCGTCACAGCTTCCTAGACACATTTTCAAAAATAAAATAAAATAAAAATTAAAGATCCTGCGTAGGACGATCTCTTGAATCCAAAAATCAAAAAAAAAAAAAAATAATTTGTGCCATTTAAAATTCGAAAGTTACTCTTATTTCCGCTCAAACCGGAAGGACAACCATTGACTACAAATTGTCAAAAAATTGAACATTCAGCCTATATTAACCCTTCCAAATTTCAAATTGTGTTACCACTTTCGTGTGTCACCCGGTCGGTATCATTGGGATCATACCTACAAAAGGTGAGGATGGATTAACAAGGCCCTCCTCAAAAATTAACCAATTTTTTTTTCGTTATTATAATTATAAATTCTGTTTATTTGTACATTTTCAGCCCTTTGCGTAATACCAGGTGTAAAAGGAACCGCTTAAAAATTCTTTTAAAAAAAGCTATTTTATATTATTAGGAACGAATCGTCTAATCAGTAGCATTTCTTTTTATTAAATACTTTTTAATAAATAATTATAATTATTATAACTTTATAAATAAGGGAGAGTGGGGCACGATGCCCAGCAGCTTCGCCAAAATTTGGGTAAATTTAGTTAAAAGCCTCAAAAAATAATAAAAAGCTTAAGTGGGCCGCTTTGCCCCACCATCCCCTATACTAATAAATATAGTAAGGTGACCGGAGCTTCCCTAATTAAAAAATGGGACAAATAAGAGATGGTGCTGGCCACATCGCTTTGCAATTGAGGATCCGGAAATGGCACCACTATGAATCAAAAGTCCCTTTGACTTTTTCACTTAAGTAGCTATACTGATATTCTTGGTGATATTTAAAAAAATTGGTCCGGCCTCATGCGCCCGTAAATATCGGAATCCGAACTCAGTGGGGCGTGGCAGCTGTTACGTACTTTGTCCCCGATGCGGGGCAGATGCTTGACGTCGCAATCTTTCGCGTAAAACGAAATAGTTTTCTTAGTCCCGTTGAACGTGTACCCTATGAGCCCCGGTTCATTCGTTTCCCCGCCGTAAGCGTTCTGACTCTTGCTAGGGCTCCGGTTCAACCAATTGGTCATCGGGATCTCTTTCGCTATGACCCCTGAGAGATCGTTCTCGACCCTGACCTCAAACTGTACCGTGCCGGGTGGTAACCTGTTGTAAAACGACACCGTCATTCCTTTCTATAATGACATCTTGTCAGAATATGATAGCCTAAAATATCCGGCGTTGATCCACATTAGCCCGATAGTTAATTATTACATAAGCGAAAGAGTTCGCCAAACTTCAAGCCATATTGTTACTAGATACATAGAGGTTTTGATTATGCACTTTTGAAGCAATTGAAAATGTGTGAAGGTCACCGTTTAAAAATAAAATGGTGCAAAATGCAGGTTAGTATAGTGTAGTGAGACCATAGATATATAATCAGCTTTACTTTACTAAATATACGGTTACAAAATGTCTTGTTCCTTTCGAAAATCGATGAAATCGAATTTTTCAAAAGTATCTGGGCTAGTATCAAAATTTTATATCTCGGTAACGGTAGGTCCTATGGGGTCGCCGTTGCTACAGAAATGATCAACGTCGAAAAAAAAAAGTTTTGTCTGTTTGTCCGTTCTCAGTTCTCCGTTCTCGTCTTTTGGTTTTTCCTGAATAACTTTCGAACCGTTGGAACTACAAAATTAAAATCTGCCTTCTTTTTAACCCTCTACGAGGCATATAAGCTGATACGAAATGGCTTTGATCCGACACCGGTATCCATCTTTTTTTTGCGATTTTCGAATGTTTTTTGGATCTTGCTATGAAACACGATGTGTCCGGGGGGGGGGGGGGGGGGGCTGGGAAGTATTCTAAAAAAATAAAAATCGCGTGTGCAAGGGTCTACAAATCATTTTTCGAAAACTATTTACGACACCAAAAAAATTCTTAAACCAGAAGAAGCGGAAGACGCGGCTTTATAAACTTTTATTCTTGACAATTTTTCAAAAATATATGCGCCGCAAATTCAGAAAATCCGATTGGCAAAATTCTTTAACCAGCAAACGGGGAAGATTCAGTGCAATAACATTTATTTTGGGCATTTTTTCGATTATATACAGGATTTTCAAATTATAGGCAAAAATCTAAAAGACCTAGGTGTCATAGGCCGCATCAAGAGCTACAAGATTAGTATTTGCGGTTTTCGGGTATCACATACGCTGCTCGGGATATTTGAAAAAATCCATATTGAAATTGGAATTTCGGGGGCTGTCCAGACGCGATGATGTCATTGATTATTACGTCGTATTGTATGGTTTCAGAAAAAACTTATTTTCTCGAAAACCTTTTACTATTTTCAAAAAATTCTTGAACCAGGACGCGTGGAAAATCCAACCTCTACTTCGAACAATGATTGTATCATATACAGGGTGTGTTGTTTACGGGCAAAAAATCTAAAATATCCTAAAAATTTACGTTTTTGTGGGAAAATTATCGGCGATAAATGAGAAACCGTTAAGGATGGAATAATTTTATTTGAATAGTATCGTAAACTATGTCAGGTTTCGTCAATTATACGGGGCGCGAGATGTTGGAAAAAATATCATTCGACAACGCAATTATTTGCGCAAATTTTAATATATGCCGATGTTTGCCGAAACTTTGAAGTTCGACGAGATGTGAAGGACGTTTTATACAGGGTGCATGCGCATTTAAATTACATCGATCCGCAGGAGCACGATAGAAAAACAATGCGTCCCTGTACCACGCGAAGCTCTTTGCTTTTATAATAAAAAGCTGCATCGCGCTACGCGCTGCGAACTTGCCCCGCCCATTTTTCGAAATCAATCTTGTTAATATTATATTATATCGCATTACATTAAGGCCCCTCTTTTTATTTTCTCCCACCTTACGTCGTTACCATAGTAACGATTCGTCCTTTGTGCCTATATGCGCAACAACAGCAATTTTACTAACGACTTATGCGGCATCTCTTAGTTGACCGTCTGTGCCATAATTCCTACCGATTCTTGATAGAAGGTCAAAAAAAAACATGCACCATTTTTGGGTGTTATATAGTGAAAATCTTACAGTGTCGCTTTTTAAAACCGTGAATTACACTGTGTTTAATTTTGACATTTTATTTAAAAATATCTAAAGGCCAAATATCTCTTCCGGTGTGCTCTAATTAGAATCTTTAGCATTTAGAAGAAGCGGATTAGATTAGATCAGATTTGGGATACGGGGTGGTAATTTGAAAGTTTAACTGACGTAATAACAGGCGGATCGAGGAGATATTGTTCTATTCGGTTCAATTAAGTTTAGGTTGAAAAACTGCATTATAACATTGATCAAAATTAACGAAATGGAAAAATTATAAGTTGTTAGAACTTTGGAAACGTCCCTCGTAAAAGGTTGGCTGGATTGGAACGAAATATTACACTATAAAATGGCCAATATAACGGAATTAACTCAATTATATTGTTTTTTCTAACCGCTTGCTATAAACTACAATCATATATAGTTCTTCTGAACATTTGGTTAGTTCCATAAGAGATAATATTTTAATATTTTACACTTGCCGTAGCCCGGTTGGGAGTTTTTGTATTTTTAAACTCGGTAAACTCATTCCAGTTGGTGTCTGTGCGCGTTCGAGTTGAAGTCTTTGTGTACGCGCATAACGATAAATTTATGGAACTAATTTTATTCTTTTCAAAATTAATTTTATGTTGAAAAACCATTTCATAAATAATTATTTTTGAGATTTTTATGGTTTTCTCTACTTTCACTCACCACTTCATTCGGATCGCGCTCTGTCTGTTCTCCTTCTGCGACGAATAATTGGCGATCTGGTCTTGCACGACGGTGAACTCGAACTCGTCGCCGGCTTGCAGCTCGTTCGTTTTGTTCACGTCGAGTATCTCGTTGAAGTGGAAAAACAGTCTCGGTTCCCGGTCGACGCACTTCAGAAACCCGAAACCGTCCTTGAGAGACGCGACCACGCCCTGTTCCCGTTTCTCGCCTGATGCCTGGAAACTCTCGTCGAGCAGCACGATGTGGGTGGCCCGGTCCAGTGCGTCCCTCCTATCGGTGGCTATTTGAAATTTCACCCAATCTCCGTACCTAAACCGAATTTCGATTAAAAATACGATATAATTAGAAAAGTTTTGGGGAACGAAATAGGTGCCTTGTTTCATGATATATTTACCCACCTGCAGCGTGAATTTGAACAAAATTCTGAGTAACTTTTATTATCATTTATAATCATGATAAATTTAATTTTTTCTGCTAAAAAACATAACTTTACTAAAATATTTTTGCGTAAATACGATAGGTACAGTCGAAACTCTATATAGCGAAATTGAAGGGAATGCTATTTTTTTCATTTTAAAAGAGTTTTTGTTACAAATAGGCACTTTAAAAATAACAATACTCATATGTGTTTCGTAATATTTAATTATTTTTATATCATCATTTTATATAAATTTTTAACAACTACATTTAATGCTTCAAATCATGGGTTATTTTCGTTTGAATTTTTTTAGTCTGCCAATATGTATCTCGTACTTGGGCTTGTATTTTCACCATTTCTTCGAGAGGGGCATCTTCCCCATGATACATAAAAAATTTCTCTAGCAGCTTAACTGAATATAGGGCTTGTTAATTGGTTGGTGGTGGTCCCAGATCAACTTCTTCATCTTCTTCTTCCTCTTGGTGCTCTTCCTCACCATTTCTTGCTTGTTGTAATGTGGCTTCCTCTGTCAAGTCTGCTATTGTAGGCAAATGCTGATCTATCACCGTAAAATCTTGCAACTCCTCAAACGTAATTTTTGTTTGAAACCGCTTTATCCATTCCCTTAGTGGCTCATCATCTTCCAAGTCCCGGTAATAAGTCCTGTATGACGATAGGAGTGTTGGATTGTTTTTGCTGTCAGCTCTTTCTAAGCTTTACTAATAAAGAAATGCCAATTCTATATTCCGTAGATTTGGAATATGGGGATGTGCCGGGCAGTTATCTAAGAGAAGTAATATTTTCCTCCCCTTTAATTCTGCATCCCATTTCCGTACGTCCTCTTCAAAAATTTGCGATGTGCCCTTTTTTCTTTCGCTATAGAAAGTGAAAAATTCGCTATACAGAGTGGATTAATACATAGCTTTGTATGGAGACCTAATAGTACAACAAATTTTGTTCGTTATACGGAGTTTTATGTTATACAAAGTTTCGCTATAGGGAGTTTTCACTGTATTTCAAAATTTTCTAGGGGTCAGCTAACACATTTGTTTAAATAACTAATACGTGACTTCGATCGCAAGTCAAGCACGGTTTTTCAAAAAATAAAATTTCCGAGAAAAAATTTAGCGACGTTTTTTCGTTTACTAGCCCGGCTGCATAACTGACATTACTTGCTCTTAGATTTGAATGAATAAAGATTGTTCCTCGCGTTCCACGGAAAAAAGATTTTTGTTTTTCCACTTTTTAGGGTGGATTTTCAAAACGAGGAACAATCTGTATCCACTCAAATATACTGATGCTTAGAGGGTTATAGCAAAAATGTAGGGTTGCCTAAAAAAAAGTTTTTACTTACCATCAAGGTCCCGTATTAGATATACCAACAAATGCATTACCCAACCCCGGAAAATTTTTGAAATATCACTTATGCGGTGTTTTTCAACAAAAATAAATCAAATTTAATGTTTTTCAAAGTACGGGAAACAGATCATAGGGAACATTAACAAAAAACATCAAATCAATTTATCAATTTCCAGAATGGTGAAAAATGTCAAATGCAAACCATGCATAATAATAACTTTTTAACCACTAGGCAAACATACAGGTTTGTTACAGTTTTAAAATAAAGCAAGTCACATTTTTTCAACCGGTTTTTAAAATAATTAGCAACCAACCAAGACGATATTAAAAAAAATTATGCTTGTCCTTTCAGATATTTTCTTATTGCCAAAGGTTTAAATTTTATTGGTTGATATTTGTGAAAAAGAAATTTGACCTAGACCTTGACCACATACCATGGATGTATGTCGATCTTATTACTTAATTTTCGGGTAAAAATGAAACCGTTTGCAAGAAGTCGGAGGCCTACCTGAGGGTGAAGTCGCCCATCTGATCCTTCTCGCTAAACGAAATTTCCCTGATTTCCTTCGAGTCTGCCACCTTATAGGTGATTCGGCCCGGCAAGGGCTCGTTGCTCGTCCTCAGATTCTTGTCGATCGCCTTGGTCACCTGACCTTTAAGGATGTCCGGCTTGAGGTCTTCGAATATAACGGTCCCCGGTGGAAGTTTGGTTATATTACACGCAACTTCCTTCCCCTAGAAATCGTGTTTTTATTTTTTTTGGTTATAGACAAGTCTCTAATATTTAGAGATTACATGATTACCATTGGTGCATATTAACGATTTTTGACCAATTTAGTTGATATAGTTGGGAAAATGGTTTTACCGTGCTTAGATCGTGAAATACACTGTTACGATTGAATCTACGTACAATTTGTGCAACAATTGCTTCTATACTTCTTATGAATTGATTGTCGGATCTCCTTCTGTAATAATGTTATTAAAGAAGACTTACGTTGCGGGTTTGAATGGTGTATTCCACGTCGTCGCCCAAACGGAGTTCCTCTTTGGTTTTGGCTTCGGAAAAATGAAAAAATATCTCTTTGACCACATCCGCGCGTTCGATGAATCCGAAACTGTCCTTTAACGAGCAGACGACTCCCTGATATTTAACCGGATGCTTTGGATTCTCTAAGCGGACGTGGCAAGCGCCCAAGTTACCCCTGCAAATACTTTCTTTGTCCATTTGCGGGCGCTAATTTATACGCAATATCACTACTTTATTCGGAAGATTCTATTTTTATTGTTCATTGTCGATTTGTTTCTTTTTTTGTTTGTAAAGGATTGAGAAAACGGAAATCCAATTTTTTTTCGTCGTTGATCAAATCACCCTTTTTCGAAATTTATTTTCCATTCGGATTATAATGAGAGGTTACACAAATAAATGGAAATTTAGTTTAACTCCCGCTCGAAGGACCAAATTGGGTGAGGGCTGGTGAACTGTGAAAAGAACTAAAGAACCAATGATGTCAAGCTGTTACCTTTTACCCCATAAAAAACCCCATTTCACCTACATAAAGAACGATAAAGCATCAACTGTTTCTCCGTAAACATTTTTTGTAAACACCCTTCGTAAAAAATTATACTTCCGAAGTAGTTTAACATTTTTTCCGCCAGGGGCCTCATATATAAACTAATCCCAAAGAAATAACGACCACTTCTGTAATTACTCTATAACTTCCCACAAAGTAAAACTAGAGCATTCTAAAAAAACGTTAACCTTTAAAATAAAACAAATATTTTCTTAATTTTTGAACCAACTAAAGACTAATTACAAAAAAACTAAAGAATTGAATTTCGAGATTTAAAAAATTTAACGTATTTCTTCTAAATAATCAATTGCTCTAATAATGCGAGTAACGTCTTCGGGTCATAGATTCAATTAAATTTATAATTATATCCCTCTTGATGTTACGTCGCTCCTCCTGGAGCATGCCTTCAAGTTGCTCTAAATTTCGGTAGTGTTGTAAATTTTTCATCCCTCTTTTAAGAAAATCCCAGATGTGTTCAATAGGAATAAGGTTTGGAGAGTTTGCTGGTTACTATCCTGGCAGTGGCAAATGAGCAAAGAAATACAGCCCCAGGCCATCAAAAAAGGTTTCTGTAATATTTTGATCATGATCTCGTTCACCTCTTCGTCTCCAAGCCCACACGTGTACATCGTTGTGGATAAACTGTGGGTAAACAATAAGTGTCCCCACTGAGCTCTTCAGTGTGCTCAGGTCAACTGCGATCTCACAGCTCTAACTCTGGACCGCATACCAGCTGCGTGGAGTCTGTTCAGTACTGTTTGTGTGGATATTCCCCTTCTTGCGGCATTAAAATGAAGACCAACAATTATCTGCTCCCTTCTCAACAAATCACGGTCTTCACGTGCTTTTTCTTTGAGAATAAAGTCTTCTTGTAACTATGCCAAACTCTCGATATCTGCTCATGAGCCTAGATATTACTGAATGATTGGTTTGAAATCTTCGGGCGATACTTCTAGTAGAAAAAACTTGATATAAGGTAACTACTCTTGCTATTTCTATTTCATTTAAATGTCTTCTGGTGAAAGCCTTTTTTTTTTACTAAAAATAATTATTTTATTATATCTATAATTTTGTCTTTGAAAAACAAAATTTATACAAAAACTTGATAGTGCGTCTATATTGTAAATGTAAAAAAAGTGGTCTTTATTTCGTTTTGACTAGTTTTGGTTAGTTTGTACGGTCTCCTCCACAACCAAAAAAAAAAATCTCGCCTCCTCCAACTTCCCCAAAGTTTACCTATTATTGGTGGCAATCTGAAAGCTGACCCTATCGCCGGATCTGAGCACGACGTTTCCCTCCACATCGTCTTTGGTGTACGGTAAAAAGAAGCACTCGCCCCTGTTTTCGTAGCTAATCCTGCCCATCGTGTCTCCCCCCGAGCCCTCGCCCCTGACCTCTGTCGTAACGGTTCCCGTCACCCGCTCCTCGCTCATCACCTACAACAAACGCACCTTACAAATTTCCACCAGGGACCAAAATCAGAGGCGACTCGTCGCCCTTTATTGCGATTAATTTTCTTTGCAGATTCAAGATTTTCGGAGTATTAAAGACACTTACGACTTCCGGAGCTATTTTCGTGACCGCGCTCGCGATCGGTTTGCCTGTACGTCGATCGTAAGTCATTTCGAATTCGACCGGATCGCCGATCTTCAAATGCTCGATGGTACCGCTGAACTGGCTGAAGTGGAAGAAGAGACGCGCCTGCCGCTCGCAGCACTGGATGAATCCGTAGGAATGCTACCGATACAAAAAAACCAACCCGCTATTACGTGACGAGAAATAGTATTAGACTCATTAAAGAAAAAATATAAGAATAAATAAGTGTGGAGCGACACAAATAGCTGCGTTTTTGATTAATCATTGATTAACAGTTAACCCATGAAAAAGATGTGCACGAGAATCTAGAGGTTAAAGCCAGAATCGCTATAGCAGTTTTCTCAAAGTGAAGCAATTCTTTTGTAATAAATATATTAGGTGATATCGTATCGTTCTAATTTGGTTTGTATTCTTAAATGGAATAAAACCATGAGCCCCGAAAATGACGAGAAAATCGTGGAGAGAGCATATATCGAAGAAAATCGGCATCCTTTGAGGATATTCTCAGGACTGATGACATACACCCTGATAAAACTGAAAACAAGCACAAGACGAGAACAATTTACAGTAGCTATCACCAATCTTCAATGCGAAGAGGCAGATGAAGTAGAATAATCAGTAATGATGTACGATTAAAAGAATATAAAGATATTTAGTCCAATTTTACCACAAGGAGATACTACTTTCCATGATTGTATTAGAATTAGGGTAGATTTTATCAAAATTGGTGAAGAAAATGAAACAAAAGCCTTTTAGTTGGATTAAGAACGCGGCAGGAGAAATTTTTAATTACTATTCTTACATAAGTTAACCATGAACTTTTTTATGACAGCCTGAAATGTGTTAAAGGGAAATTGCGATTTTCTTTCTTGTTTCGTTTGTCTACCTTATTTGACTTACTTATTATGTATTGCATATTTTTGGTTCTCTCTTTTTTTTTTTAGTTTTTACTGTCTTGTAATTGACTTTGTTTAAATAATAATTAAAATACATATTAATACAATTAAAATATAAAAAGATTTTAGCAAAAATTTTTCTTCTGCAAAATAAATATTTCACGAGATCACCACATAGAATTTAGTTTAAATTTCATGTTTGGAGCTTTGTTAATAATACAGACTTTTTTTTGCGTTTGATAAATCCTCACCAGTAACTTTTCAATGATACCCGTTTCTCTGGTTCCCAAATTCGAATTAGACGACTCGTTGTTATAGCTGCTGCTACTGGTGTTACCGTTGGATACTGCGGAGAATAGGTTGGACGAAGTGCTGTTGATCGAACCATCGCCTGAGCTGAAACCCGCGAAAGCAAAATGCAAAGTGACGCCCGTGCTGCACGCCCATAAACGTGTTTTACCTATTAAACACGTTGTTGGTGTCCAGCGTGAATGTGCCTATGGGCGGAAAGGCGCGAGTACTGGCGTGCGTTGCACTTGCCGACCCATAGAGGCCGTTACTGTAAGACAACTGTGAAGCGGTCGTCTTATCTTGCAGCAGCGGGAATTCCTGGCCGAACCGCGAATTTGAAGTTGATCGATTGAAGTTGAATGGTTGAGATGATTTACCTGACGTATTATAAACAGTCGTTGAAAAATGAAAATGACGAAGTTCTAAAAATGTGAAATTAAAAATTTTTTTAAAAATACTTGGGTATTTTATAAGATCTATCGCTAAAAATGATTTTGTCCTTTGCTCTCTACGCCAGCATCATCCTTTCGTCCTGCCTAACAGGTCGTCAATGCGGAATGCTTTTAATAGTACTAATAATACCAAAAATTGAATAACTGAAAAGTTGCGGGCCCATATCAGGAAGTGTGGAAAACATACAGTGGTGAAAAAAAGTATGGAAACTTCTAATAACGTTTATATCATTAATTCTTGAAGTACGCTAGAGCATTTTAATTGCTATGCCAATGCCATGTCTTTTTATCAAGTTTCTTTTTGCAATGAGGGATTTGTGATTGGAGATAAGTACAGAAACTTTTTATAATTAGTGTTCTAAAGAGATTTTCGATGGTAATTTCAACAGAACAATGATACCACCTAGCGAAAGAAAGGTTGGACACAAAAAATAACTGTCTAATTGCCAAATCTGAACTCCTTTGAACATACTTGCATCGGCGTATCCTAATACATTCCAATGTTAAATATCCACAAGACCATCTTAGATTCTCGAGGCCATGCTAGAACAATAGAAGTTCCCATACTTTTATTTGAAATTTCGTTAAAATTTCAAAATAGAAATCCGAAGGAAAAAATTATTTGCTTAATGGGGTTTACTCTTTTAAAAAACTTTATAATTATTTTATTATTTTTCCACTACTGTATACTAATTTATCTGTTTTTTTGGTTTTCAAAAAATGTTATCATGAATTTGGTACAGTTTTAAGTTGGCCAAGTAGTTTATAGCTAATAGTATCTTGGGGAAGTATTCAGTGTGTATAGCCTTTTTTCGATCTGCGAGGTGTGTAGTGAAAACTGTATTTAGTGTCTTATTGGGATGTCCTATAACGTTGTATTTGTTATGACGATAAATACTATATCTATATATACAAAAAAATTAACTAGCCAAAAGTTCACTTTTACTTGCGATAGAAAATTGCAACCTACCTTGCTTATATTTAGAATATATAGTTTTTATGTCAAACTTTTTCGGAAAACAGGAAAAATGTTTTTTACTTTGTTTGTGACATTGGAGCAGGAGGTTAAAAACTAAACAATCTAATGAACTCTTCGCCTTTGAACGTTTTTTCTAGTTTTTTAAATGATTTTTTTATTTATAACCCACTCTAAAGAAATTTAAGCGAAGTATAATCATAATATGGCAATATGTACATAAAAACAAAATTAATAACTAATAATAACATTGATACTTTTAAAATATTAATATCTGCGATGTTGAAGTAACCAGATTCTGAGTCATGTGATCCTGTTTCGTTGTCAATACCGGTTTTTCTTTTATTAGAAAAAGGTTAGTGGACAAAATACCATATTATATTTAAATATATACGTTAAAAAAAAACAGGTCAGCCGTTGTGATACGTTAAAGCTAAAGTTGAAAATTGGCCATCTTTTTTTGCATTCTAAATTGCGTTAAAAGGTCGCCATAAACTCCCAACGATGATTCTGCATATTTCTTAAAGCCCTCGTTGTATTTCCATTACGTCAAAGCTTAAGTAACTTAATAAAATAATAACACTTGATAAAATTTGAAATCGGTGCCTATTAATTTGTGGCTATCACTGAAAAATGTCCACAATAAACGGCACTAGTGGCGCCTCGCAGTGGGAGTTTAAACAACTCGAATCACTGGCGAATACACATAAACAATTAAATCAACTATATAGGGTAAAAAAGGTAATATAAGCCAAAAAATTAGTCAAAAATGCGCATTTCATAGAAGATGCGGGAGCATTAGTGAATGTTTTTGAGTTCGTAATGCTACGTTACAGTGCGGCAAACGGAAACAGCAAACTATGCGATATAAACATGATCGTGTTTATCGAACACAAAGTTCAACGTAAACGGTTTCAAGGTCGCGCCGCGGAACTTAACAAATTGTCTTTTGCGACGTGCCTTTTGCGTCCTTTTAATTAAAAGCGACAACTTTGTTGCTCTATCACCAAACTTATCTATATTCCTTAGACGTAGTACCGGGTAGTAGTAAGAGTTTAAATAACCCCACTTTTAAAACGAGGGACGTTGAAACACTCGTGCTGATGGGAATAAAATAAAAAAGTGGCGTAAATGAATCGAACAGACGATTGAAACAAAGAATGTGGGAAGCTTTAGAGTCCCTTATTTATTAAGTCATCAACTGCATATCCAACTCATATAATTATAATCATGTGTAATTGTTATTGTATTTATCTAAAAACTCCCTGTAAGAAACACAGTATATATGGATCGCAGAGGAATAATTGCTAATTCAAGCAGTCCCATATTGTTTAGACTAGATTTTTAAAAATTATTTCGCGCGTTTTTGATAAATAAATGGCTCATATTTTGTTTGTTCGCACTGACGTCATCGGTTTATTAACATTCCGCTGCCAGGTAATGGACCTAAATTTGTTTGACATTAATATTACATATAATTTAATGTAACGTAATTCTTTCAGTTTTTTAGGTAGAATCGCTTTAATTTTTTCCGGAACTTAATAAAATCTATTGCGCATGTGCATGTGTATTATAAAAGTGCGAACGGCATTTTCATGAGTATGATTCAAATTTCAAATCGCTAAAGGAAACCCACAGATATAAACAACGGTGTTGCAAATAGTTGAATTGCCACATTGCCAAGCAAAAAAATTACCTTATTGAAAAACTTCTTCTATACCTAGAAAATGCATACATGCGTACGGCTTTAATACATTTAACATTTACGTTATATGGGATTTTTCCTGAATTAAAACCATTCCATTCCCAATACCATAAAATTATAGTCAGACATAACTAAACTTTAAATATTAAGCCAGAAATATTGCTTGTAACAAATTCTTATAACAATAATTATATTATTGACATTATTCAAGTTGTGGACTTTTGTACAGCGGACATTCATGAAACATCAATAAGACTAAAACACCCGTTTTCACCGCTTGCAATTCGACATAAGGGTGAATTTGTTTTTCTAAAAGACAAAAACAAGATATTACAGACCTTTCTACTCTGTGGTGTTGTCGAGTCAATGAAAATATTATTAATAGGATTTCTATAATTTGATTTGAATGATAAAAATTCCATATCACACTAGAGAAATTTATTTGACTAAAAACAAGAGAATTGGATAAAAAAAAAGTTGATTTGACATTTGGCAGGATCTCGTATCTATGTAACACATAACCTAACATTTGAAAGGAGCTGCTCGCAATCATAAAGCTATAAATTAGGACGTGGACCTTGGAGACACATTTTGAATATGATAATGATATGTGAAATTAATTTTATTGCGTTCAAAACAAACTATTTTCGTCACAGAATTTTACCAATCTCTCTAAGCCACTTTGAATCTTTATAATATCAGTTCAATCTTGAACGCTTTTAAATATTTTTAAATAGTCTACATAAAGTAAAAATGTATTTTGACCCATAAAGTTTTTATTAATAAAATAAACCCCGCAAAAAAAGCAGAAAAGTGAGCAGTTTAGGGGAAACATGTGCTTAAAAAAAAGGCAGACCAAGTCAAGTGTGTCAATTTGTCAGAACCAAAACTTGAAACTTACTATACCTGAAAATGTTAAACATTTACGGGAAAAAAAAGATTAAAATTAATTACATTTAAATTAGTAGATTTTGACTTACCGTTACTGGTCAGAGATTTAAAATCAATGATGGGGTCCTGATTCATTGTATCGGGGGGCGGCTGGAATGTCTTCCACTGAGGATTGCTGGACATATTTCTATACAGTACAATGATTTAATATATTATGTCTTCTTGTCACTTCTTATCGTTTTTCTTTTAAGTGTAGTGGATATCACAGAATGGTTAACCGGTATTTCTCAAATACCCGACGAAATACAGTCAATGCTTGCGTGAGTGTACGTGTGTATGTGTTTGTGTGTTGTAGATGTGTATATGGCAGCCGATAAAAATTTAAAAAATGATCGCTCACGTTAGTTAAATCAATCGAATTCACAAGGTACACGAGTTCCCAGTACTTAGACCATAATAATAATTAGGGGATCAGTTGGACAAAGCAAAAAAGTAAAGTTCCCACGTAAAGTCATAAAAAAAAAACAATTCACAGTCACTCAAAATTTGTTAGTTTTCGTTTAATATGCGGGTTGTATATGTTGTTGAAACGGAAAAATTAAATAAAAATCCTCAGATGTCTTCAATGCGTGCTGCTTGCGTATTGTGCCGTAATGCTCAAAAATTTCTTGTCCATAGAAGGCTGATGGTTACTGGTTGGGACTAGTAGTAATCTGGTTTACTTCGAATTTTCTTCTGGGCTAAATTTTGAAGTTGTTAGTTACACAAGCTGTAAACAAAGAGATATTGGTTAGGGCGACCACAAGTAAAAGAAATTGAAAAAATGAAGTCAACTAATTACCAGCAATCAATCGGTCAACATTTTTTTTTACCATGTCCACCTGCAGAAATTTTTTTCACTTGTACAGTTTTTGTTAGTTTTGTTCCTCTGGCTAGTACATAATGTTCATGTTCCATGTTAAATACGTTATAGGTATCCAATTAGATTCAAAGTAATATGAAATAATAACAAATATAATTAAAAGTAATACTACAGCTACCAATTAAAACAAATTAAAAGGGGTCTATTTTTCATTAAATACCTAATTATTATGGAAATACACTAAGTAAAAAAAGTAAAGGAACAAAACATAATGACGCAAAACATAAAATCTCAATTATCAATCAATATTAATTTTGATTGGGATTTTAAATACTTTGTCACCTAATTAAAAATACATCTGATAATATTTTATTAATTTTGAGATAATATTTATCGTTTATATAATTAAAAACGGAAATAAACGAAGATTCAAATGGCATTCAAATTTATATGAATAAATCCAATCTGTCAGTAGGCCCTTCGAGACAATTGAACGCTTGAGTAAATAATGCAGAAATTTTACTGCAGCACCTCAAAATAACCCAGAACCAGAGTTCCGTGCGGTTCCCTTTCCCGAATATCAAGTTAAATTAACCGACAAACGGACCCTACATCCTTTCATAATAAATTAATGCGTCTACCTATCAAAGCAAGATCCTTCATTCTGATGAGCATCCTAGGTCTTTTTATTTTTGTACATTTAATAACCCCTCAAAAAACTTCTTCAAATTGCCGACAATATTTAGAAAAATTAATTTTATGGCTTTCGTTCCATAAAGATCCAATTTATTTTTAGATTTCTTAAGGAACCAAAGAATTTTGATGCTGTCACTTTTTAGACAAAAAATATATCGCCTGTTTATGTTTTGCTTTAAAATAGGTCAGAAAAAGGAAAAAAATACGGCAAAATATATTCATTTTTTGTTAGTTGATGATAAAAGATGTGGACTACATTTGAAGCACGGGTTTATTAGCAACGGTTAAATTATTGATTTTAGACCGAAATAAATAAAAATGTTGCGATATAATGAGAAAATGATCTAAAAACTACTTGGATATACAATTATATCCAGAATAGTAAAGTTTATCGAACAGTCTTCTGCCGGAGAAGACCCTGCTGCGTAGAAAACATCGGCACAAAAGAGAAAATAGTTGAGGGTTACAATGAAAAATTAAGGTGGATTATATCTACTTCGCATAATTCTATGAACTATGACTCTATTTAACAAAACAGAACAACTATTTGGCGGACAGTGTACGTACTTTTTCAATCGAATTTGGCGTATTTTTGGTAAAATTTGAAAAAAATTCAACTCACCACGACACAGCACAGCACTGACGACATGCCGCCATGTTTAATGTCAACATGGTCAAATAATATTCATGACAGAATCCTTTACGCTAGGATGAACTTGCTCAGCATTCCCAATGATGGATGTGACGTCACTTATTGCTTGACATATTGAATTCAATATTTTTTTCGGTAAACGATTGAAAGTGAAAACCGTAGTTCTTTTAATTTCTACATATCAATTGACGAGTATATCATGAACACTCATTTATCTCATAAAACTAGGATTATTAAAGTGTTAACACGTTAACGTCTAAGACTGACGTCAGAACACATATAAATTTAAAACTCAACCTAGCAACTTTGTTTTCTCTATTTATCAGGGTTTTTGGTCATTTCCGAATTATTCCACTATTTTTGAGAAAATTCAAACTAGTAGTAATATAGACGAATTTTAGTAGTTTAAAAGTACCTGATCAACACCTCTACCTGTTTTGTGTAATTTGGTCTCACATGTAGTGAACAACTAAATGTAAGAATATACTTATTTAACCCCGGAAAAATGTAGGTCTGTTTATAACCTGAATATATTCGTTGGTGTAGTTTTCTATTTTTAGTTGTCTGACTAGTTTATTTTTCATTTCTATTTTATGGAAGACCAGCATGGAGGCAATATTTCATGAAAAAGTTAGTATGCTGTACAGGCATTTTAAAGAACTAATAAAATCTTAGCTTTTTACAGCAAGATGGGTCTCTTTGTGCCCAACATTGCCTGAATTCCTTACTGCAAGGATCTTACTTCACGGCTGTGGATCTGGGCACCCTGGCCAACAGATTGGATGAGGAAGAGCGTCAGCGTATGGCAGAAAGTGGTCTAGATACAGAAGACTATCGCAAGTTTCTCCAACAACCTTCCTCAAATATGGATGACAGTGGTTACTTTTCTGTGCAAGTAATAAGTAGTGCTCTGCAAGTTTGGGGACTTGATTTAGTGCCTTACTGTAGTACAGATGATAGAGCTAAAACAGCCCTAGAAAATCCTAGTGCAATGCAAGCTTTTATATGCAATTACAAAGATCATTGGTTCTCTATAAGGAAAATTGGAAATCAATGGGTCAATCTGAATTCTTTACTGTCCAAGCCTGAACTTATATCCGATACATATTTGGCTCTGTTTCTAGCACAATTGAAAAATGATGGGTTAGTGTTGATAAATTTCTCAATGTTCACTATTAAAAGTCTTATTGGTTTTAGATACTCAATATTCATAGTTTTCGGTGATCTACCTGATTGTCCTGCAGATGAAATACTTAAAAATAACCCCATTGAGGTAATACCTAGACAACATTTGCAACCAACAATATCCAGTGAAAGTGATCCAGATATGCAAGCAGCGCTTAGGTTAAGTTTGCAGGATGAAGCTCTTATAGAACCTTTAACCGATAGTCCAGATGTTGATGATGGGGACCTACAAGAAGCCCTAAGGCTTAGCTTGCAAGGCACGAATAGCACCGATGATGAGGATGAAGATTCCCTTTTGAAGAAAGCTATCAGTATGAGCCTTCAATGTTAGTGATGAAAAGATGCAGACCTTTAAATAATGAATTTCTGGATGGATTTATTGGTCAAGAAAATACTTGTTAGTTTGTTTACTTGTTATTTAATGTCATTGAGGCAACTGTCCTTATTACTTACCTTAAAAAAGAAGTGTTCATTTTTAGAACTAACTTATTGCATTGAAAAAATATTCGTCTCAAGTAAATAGTCTCAAATTTCGTAGAACCTAAATAATTGCCTGGGAATACTTTTTTAAAGGTTTTTTCATCACTGCCATTATTTTTGTATTTATTTATTATTGATAATTGTGACGAGCAAATATTTTTATTGTTTGTTGTTAGATTATATTGATATATTTTTAAATTTTTAGTATATTTTCTGTAATTAAATAATAAATAGAAAAATAAATGTGTCGTTCATTCCACTATAAACCAAAGTCAGATTGCAAAAAAAAGATATTTTCAAACCTGTGGTCAATAGAAACTATGGAGCGCCATCTATGAGCTGACGTGCGTATCGATCTAGTGGGCATTTGCATTATCGATATTTCTTTCTGTCATCCAATTTCCATAAAAATTGATGAAAATGTGGATTTCTCGTTGCCCCCCATCCCGGTGTTAATTTATAAAGTGAATAAGTATTTTGTGGAACTCGCAAGAAGCCACCAGCGGAACTCTCAGGCGCCCTTGATATCTGCTATAACTTTCATTAAGGATTTTTGATAATGGGTAACGTACAGGCGTATTCTACACCTCCACCGCCGCCCCCTCCAGCCGGAGTGAATTTTGCGAAACCTAAAGATTGCGAACCTACACCTGTCGGCCCCGAAACCATGGAAAATCCAGGACCGCTTGAAGAAATACATACCAAGTGCAAAAGTAAGTTGGGTTATATCATAACCTCAATTAATATAAAACGTAAATTTTATTTTAGATGTTTTCCCAACTTGTTTTGAGGGGGCGAGGGTCTTGCTTACGAGAGGTTTGAGTAACCACTTTCAAATCTCTCATACCATAAACATGAGTTCTGTGACTCCAAGTGGCTATAGATTTGGTGCCACTTATGTGGGAACCAAACAGATATCACCCACAGAAGCGTATCCTATTTTGTTAGGTGACATTGATCCTACTGGAAATTTAAACGCAACAATGATCCATCAAATTCAGCCGAGGCTTCAGGCAAAATTTGGAGCTCAAGTAATTTGGATTATCGACATATAAATACATTTATAATGGTGCTTTTAAGGTACAAAATTCTAAGTTTCAAGTGGGACAGTTAACTTTAAACTATAGAGGCGCCGATTACACTGCCAGTATGACTGTGGCAAATCCGGATATTATAAACGGTTCTGGTGTAGTTGTACTGCATTATTTGCAAGCCGTTACTCCCCGATTAGCTTTAGGATCGGAACTTGCGTATCAGAAGGGACCGGCAGTTCCGGGGGGAGAAATAGCACTTCTTAGTGCCGCTGCCAGGCATGGACTTGTCAATTATGGTTTGTTGATTTTCTAATATCCAGATTTTTTTTAAAGATATACCACTGAAAGTGTACAAGTATCAGGAACGTTGGGAGTTTCTGGAATACATCTGTGTTATTATCAAAAGGCAAGCAAGCAGTTACAAATCGGCGTGGAATTGGAAGCTAACAATAGGATGCAAGAGGCTGTTGCATCAATCGGATACCAAGTGGATCTGCCTAAAAGTGAAGTTGTGTTCAAAGGTAAGAGAGAGGATATTCTTGGAGCTTAGGGTCCCACCATAAATTTCGCCATTCGCAGATGTGGAATGATATATTTGTCATAAAGACTTGGAAAGAAAAAACTTATGACCAAAGTGGCCCATATAAATAGTTTTTGCTATAACTGAACATTTTTGGAAATAAGTGTTAATAGTGTCAGAATGGCTGAAAGCATTTTGCCAAACTTGAAGCCTTTGAAAACACCTAGGCCATTAACTCTGCTCTGAGCAGATTGATTTCAATTGCTTTCATATCTGCTACAGAGGATTTTATTATTCAAATTTATTTTTGCAAAAAAAATAATATATCACTTTTATTTCATCATAAGATAGCTAAATAATGGTCTAACACTCTAGTGAAAACTGCTTTTTGATATCTTTGATATAATAATGTTATCACCTTTGTGAATGATAATGATTAAATATTTATGTTCAGTGTTTTAGAATAATATATATAATATTAAAACCCAATAATCCCATAATTGAAATATTGCAATGCAATATTACAATAATGAAAAACAATAACACAGATATAAGCACTAAGATCTTTGCGTTTTAATTTTAATGCAGGATACTCCATGGACCCATAAATTGTAACATAAGCAACTTTTTACAAACAACGCGACCAAAATACCTATAAATTGGTGTAATTTTGATATATAAACACCACGAACAAATCAATCAACAACAAAACAAATCTTCTGAAGGGGCGTGACTATTGTCTCCGCCTCCGTCAAACAGTATATAAGTAGGTACAGAGTAAAATGCGAGCCAGTTTCAGTCAAGCTCTGAAGCAACCAACAGGATGCTTTTGGAACTGTCAGCAACCATCAATTTGTAAATAATACTACATTATAATTTTTGCTATTTTTTTCTTACAAAGCACACTTCGATTTTACAAATTTCAAATTTGGTGTGGACAGTATTAATTATTATTGACAATTTAGTTATAATTTATATATTTTAACAGTAAATTTATATATATTTTGCTTATATGAAACCGATATATATATATACAGTGTGTCCAAGATAAGGATGCACAGCATGGGGATCTCGGAAACTATAAGAGATACAGTGTCGGTTAAATTAGACAAAAGTTGCGCATTTTGATACCGAACAAGATCCCGTTTTACAAATTTGAAAATTCCAAGCCGTTCCGGAAATATCCGAGAAAAACCGAAATATTGCGATTTCGTTTTTATTATTTTTTAAAGCTATTTGAAAAGATATGAAAAAACGGAAAACACTTTTCCATTGGCACTTTTTAATCTCTCCAAATTGACGTTAACAAATTTTCATTACAGCGTTTCGATTCCATGGAACCACCATCAACTTTGATTTTTCTTATGGGACGGAAAAAAAGTACACACAGTATTAGGTTGCGCTTTTCATTGCGAATTCAACGATGTACGATACAATACGGTTACTTATGTTTTTATCCAGAAAAATGGCTTTTTAATACATTTCCAGTATTTTATTGTAGTAGGCCATGAGATCCGAACGATGAAAGGCAAAAGAAAATGGTTGACAAGTTCGAGTTAATGTGTTTATTTATTTACTAACTCTAACTGTTCATTTAACATAACAACTAAATCCAACAAGTTAATGAAAAACAAATTCTATAACAAATGTTCGAATAAATGACCTCCATTTTCTAGGCATAAGTACGCCCGACTTAACATTTCAGGAGTAATTTTATTAAACGCTGCTCGTACTGATTGACGTAATTGTTCCTCGTTGTCAAAACATTCTTTGAATACCTCATTTTTTATGTAGCCCCATAAGAAAAAGTCCAAGGGAGTTAAGTCCGGGGACCTTGGAGGCCAAGGTGTTTCACTGTAAGTCCCAATGTATTTTCCATCAAACCGTTCAGTTAAATATTGGCGAACTTCTCTGGAGTTATGGGCTGGGCCACCATCTTGTTGGAACCAGCAGCCTTGCACAGCGCCTAGCGGTAAATCATCTAAGGCATCTTCTAAATCGTGCCTCAAGATGTCAAGGTACCGCTCGGAAGTTAAGGAATTATTATAGAAAATAGGGCCTATAATCTTGCTACCAAAAATCCCACACCAAATATTAAACCCAAAGCGAACTTGATGTCTGGATAGTCTATTAACACGTGGATTTTGTTGCGACCAATAGTGTGTATTGCGCCTGTTATAAATACCGTTATTGGTCACCATACTTTCATCAGACCAAATCACTTTATATGGAAAATTAAAACTCTCATCACACATCCTGGTATACCACTCACAAAAATGTCTACATCGTTCGTCGTCACCCGGTTTTAATCCTTGACATATTCTGAATTTGTAAGGCTTAAATTCATTTTTCCTTAAAATAAACTGAGCTGTAGATTTAGCTACCCCATTCTGGTCTTCAATTTCTCTGGTAGAAGTTTGTGGATTTTCGATAACAGATTGTAGAACAATGTATTGGTTTTCTTCATTGGAAGGTTTTTGTCGGGATAATGCAGGCTTCTTAAATGATCCATATTCTTTCAGATTAAATAACAAACGCCGAAAAAACTCTTGTCAGGTTGTCTCCGCTCTGGGTATTTGTTAGAATACATACGCTCGGCTTCCACACAATTTCTTTGGCATCAGATGTAGCAAGACAGCATATCACATTTTTCTTCGTTTGTAAAATTACCTCCCTCCATTGTAGAACAAAATAAATTAGAAAAAGACAACAACAATAAAAATACAAAAACAATAACTAAAGGAATAAACTTATGATCGACTGATAACAAAGACAAATAACATTAATGTGTCATTGAAATTGACTGGATGTCATTTTGTCATGGCCTACTCCATTTAAATGCTGAAATGTATTAAAAATCCATTTTTCTGGATAAAAACATAAGTAACCGTATTGTATCGTACATCGTTGAATTCGCAATGAAAAGCACAACCTAATACTGTGTGTACTTTTTTTCCGTCCCATAAGAAAAATCAAAGTTGATGGTGGTTACATGGAATCGAAAAGCTGTAATGAAAATTTGTTAACGTCAATTTGGAGAGATTAAAAAGTGCCAATGGAAAAGTGTTTTCCGTTTTTTCATATCTTTTCAAATAGCTTTAAAAAATAATAAAAACGAAATCGCAATATTTCGGTTTTTCTCGGATATTTCCGGAACGGCTTGGAATTTTCAAATTTGTAAAACCTGATCTTGTTCGGTATCAAAATGCGCAACTTTTGTCTAATTTAACCGACACTGTATCTCTTATAGTTTCCGAGATCCCCATGCTGTGCATCCTTATCTTGGACACACTGTATATATATATATATATATATATATATATATATATATATATATATATATATATATATATATATATATATATATATATATATATATATATATATATATATATATATATATATATATATATATATATATATATATATATATATATATATATATATATATATATATATATATGTGAGAAAATACCTTTCATTTATAGCGATGTCGCAAAATGGCGGCGATAGAAGCAGTCTAAATCAATCTGCTCAGGACAGCGTTGATATTCTAAAAAAAAACCTTTTCAAAAACTCCAAGTTTGACAAACTGTCATTCTGAAGTTATTGACAGATATTTTCAAAAATGTTTGAACACTCTCCACCACTTTCATATAAGAGAGCAAAAACGATTTAACGAAAATGAATAGAATTTACGCAGCATTTGTAATATAAGATTATTTCTCATTTCAAAATATAATCATAATTTCCAGCATTTTATTTTTGCCGCTTTAGTCATTTTTTTTATTCGAGATAGCTCCGTCCTATCCGTCCTTTTTAATTAACCACCCAGTACTTGTTATAATTCTTACGCTTGGCGGCTGCGCGTAGGCGAAAGACGGATCTGGAGTGGGATTATGGTTTGAATTCGAATTACTTTTCAGGACATATTGACTCGAATTGGTCGGTGGGGGCAGTGTTAGAAAAAAAGTTAAGCCCTTTGCCATTTACGTTAGCATTTAGCGGACTTATGAATCACAACAAGAATCACTTTAGGTTAGGAGTGGGTGTACTGATAGGTTAGAGGAATACTATGAAAATGATAGACAAGCAACAAATTTTATTCCAGAAACATCATAATATTCTTTGTTTTTTTCTTCGACTACACATTAAATACTTTGGAACCAGTCTTGAATTTGATTTTTTTCCGCCTGAATGTGAGAATGATTGTTTTTTTAAACATAAACTGTAGTAGGAACAAGAATCGAATACAATCTGGACTTTTATTACATTTTGAAGCGCCGCGTGTCGATTGTTAGTTTGCAAGTTCATTATTTTTTTTACACTGTAAATTAAATAATTGTAAAATATTGTAGACAAAATATATTGTTCATATAAAATACTGGTTTGTTGTTAAGCCCTCGATAGGAAGAAAAAAAGGTGAAACACACACAATGTTTAAGCCGAAAGCAAAGAACTACTCATTTTCTGGGCCTTCCTACTCCCTTCTTTACGCCTCCTATGTGTTTATCCTTAGATTTATTGCTTAACAAGGGGTGCACTTCTGTAAAAGAACAGTTTCAACATTGTAACATACAAGCGAAGGCGGTTTCCCAGTTGAAATAAACTCCTACGTCCAAGGTTTTGCGCTTACAAATGGAGCGGGGTGGGGAAGATTTGGCTACCATCAGTAGCAATGAAATAACCATCCGTTAATCAAAATTACTCACAAAGTGCAACTGCAACTTGCCAAGTACCAAATCCCAATACAAAAACATCGAGCTTAAGCCAAGCAACTACTACACATAAAACAACCGTGCCAAATTTGGTAACCTGCAAGTTACCAAGCAAAAATTCCGGTAGCTATTTCACAGCTGTATAGTATGTCACGCATTAATTTGTGGATTTTGCATTGGAAAAAAAGAGGAGTGCATGGGGAAGGAAACTTGTCCTAAACTTTGGTTAATCACCCAAACTATCAAAAATTCCGGAGAACTGCCCAATTTTATTTACTTATTGATTTTTTGAAAAAATAAAATAAACTTTTGGTAAATCCAATAAAATTGATGTTTGGATTTTCGTTCTCCGAGACTTTAAATAGCACACTCAACGCGAATCACCCTCTCTGTACACTAACGCGTTAAATACTAGGAATTTATTTCACCAAACTAACTAAACATCTACTTACGGCGTGCCCCGATCCGATCTCGACAAATAAAACAACACAAAAGAAGCGCAAAAGAATTCTATAAATAACAGATAAAAAACTTTTATTTAGCAACCACAACTTAAAACTATATAATACTATAGTAATATAGTAACAAGTTATATATATTAAAAAATTAAAACTCCTTTAAAAATAGTCTACATTTCGTTAAAAAACAAAATGGAAAAAAATTCAAGACGCTCTGAACTTTCTACACTTAGAACTGTAAACTTTTACTGTTATTATTATTACCTCCATCGCTGACGTTTTCCAACGCGATGTCGTACGACTTGTACTTCTTCTTCTTCGCCGGAGGGGGCCCGTTGCTTTGGCCAGACGGAGCCAGATTCGAGTCCACTGCGTTCCAGTTGTCCTCTGGATCTTCGATCTGAAAATGGCGTCACAGGCAAACGGAACGTTTTACTTTCTTTCGTTTTCTAATCAAAGTACCTCGGGCGCTATAGGCAAAAACTGTAGACAATCCATGTTGCCGTCTTCTTCGTCCGAACTGCAAAACGCGGCGACAGGTTCTATGGCACACACGTCCACCTTAAATTTTTTCGAAAATGTTTTACTAATATTATTTGGTTAAACGTTAGCCAAAAAAAATGTTCTTTTTTTATGAGCTGAACAAATACAGTGTCTTCCACTTAATTACTGTACACCCTTGTAAAATCTTTGTCTATGGTTCGATTTTGATTTTTTTTTGTTGGATCAAACTCTCAAAAACGCACCAAAGTACTGTATTTCATAAAAATATAACAAATAAAGGTAAATTGTAATTCTAACCTCCAAATCCGTATCCTCTTTCGCATCGCCGCCACTGGCAACAGACTTGTCCTCATCCGTGATGTCAAATTCACTTTCCCTCTCCTCATATTCTACATTTTCGTCAAGCTCTTTAAAGTCGGGCGCAAAAGCCGACCAATTTTCAACCTGATTTTGGGCCCACACACTCACAACACCTTCAATTTTATTTATTATCTTATCTGTTAGGTTTTCCCTGCATTTTCACTAACCTGACGAAATACTGGCAATAATAGGTCGGACTGGATGCCATGCAACATCCACTAAAAGTTCACCTTTGGTTCCATGCAAAATTTTAACCAAATTGCCTATCGATTTTTCCCAAATGTAGAGCGCATGTTGCCGAGCTGAGCCAGCACAAATATACTCCCCGTCACCAGAAAAGCAACATTTTTTCCACATTGTTCTGCGAGTGGCACAAATTTATTTCAATTCTTTTCACAAGTAAATACTATACTGATGTACTTACTTATTTACTAAATCTTGTAGCTTCTGAATTGGTTCTGGTTCACCTTCTTTCCCACATGCCAGAACTTCCTTACTGTTGTAAACTCTAATCACTCGGTCCGCTGTATTTATTAAAAAACAGCTATAAGAATAAAGAGAAAAAATAAATAAATAAGTTCAGTCACTGCAAAATTTTGCTCTATGAAAAAGCATCTTCACAGTCAAATTTTTTTACTCATAACCTTGAGTGATATTTAACCCAAAAATTGATCAACTAATTCTCAATACATCCCCAATATAATATAAAAGCAAAGTACTCACTCTCCCCTCCTTGCAAATTCTATACTTTTGACAGCTGTTGCACTGGAGGTGCCCAGCATAATTCTGAAACTGGCCTTAATTTCTAAGGATTTTGAGTCCAACACCAAGACTTTTCCTTTGGCATTGCCCGTGTACACATAGTCCCCTCTCCTATCAAAGGAGGCTACTATGTTCAGATCCCCCTAAGAAATTAAAGATAAGATTAAATGACCAAATTAAACATACAAATTCACTACATCTTCATCTATAGGCAAAACTTGGTGTCCTCCATTGGTGTCAACTAATACAGCGGCATGTTTCATTGGACAAATTAACAGTCTTTCCAAATTTCTTGGTTCAAATTGCACCTTCAAAACAGGGCAAGGAAATCTGTATTTTTGTTCACACTCGCCATGCAAAACATCCCATATGCAAACTGTATTATCCGTCGAAGCAGAAGCAATCTTATGCCCATTTCTGGACCAACTGATGCTACAAACTGGATGTACATGGGCCGAGATAATTTTTGCTATGCCCCGTGTAAGAAAGTCCCATATGACAATTCGTCCATCGTTACAACCAACAGCAAGTAAGGTCCCGCGTTTATTAAAAGCACATGTTAAAGCAATGGAAAGTGAATCTAGTGTACCATCAAATTCCTTCAAAAGGACAATTATCAGGATAAGATTATACCGTATTCCCTTTACTTACTTCGGGGTAATTTTGTCCAAAGGATTCTATATCAAAAAAACATTTTTTAAGAATTTGTTAAACCGATTTCAATACATACCTAAAAGCTCCAAGTTCATTTTCAAAAGCAATTCCCAAAAATTCACGTTATTACAATTTGTTTATTTTCATTTTTCCATGCTGGTACAGAACAGGATTTGGTATAGTCATGTCTAAAAACTGCCTGGCCAGCCAGTGAATTTGGCTCCCAAATTTTCATGATCGGTCACTTCGTAAGAATTAAAATGTGGGATCTCTTAATGTAAAGAGATAAAATTCATATTCTCAATTTTTTTGCTTAGTGTTGGTTACTTTTGATTTCGATGATGAGAGACGAAGTTCACCGGCTGATTAGGCGTTAGTGGTAGTTTATAGCAACAGCATAAAAGTTATTGTTTCTTTTTAGTTATATTCTCTTCGGACTGAAAATCAAGACTAATTATCATTAAACTATTTAAAGCCTTTCCTAAAAATTAACTTCAACTTGCGTAAATACACAGGAACATTAGAATGTTGTTCCCCTGCCACTAACCAACTGACCAAAACTAATCGATGTCCATCAATCGTGTTCTCTGAAGGTTTCGTTATTTCAAAAAAGTCTGTTAAGTATTAGGTGCCTATCAGTTTTAAACAGGTTTCGCGGTGGAAAAAAGCTTATTATTTTATATTTACATTATTTACCGCCTGGAATTTTAAATAATGGATAATAAAAACACTGGAAACTCCAATATATCAGGCAATCCACATAAGAAACCTAGGATTAAGCAAAAGGCGGTTCCCGTTATTAAACATACAAAAACAAGTCTTCGACGTTTGCTAATTGCAAATCCTTTGCTCGAACATGAGGAAGCGGGCACGAACAGAAAAGTTATTGAAGATAAATCGAATAATGGTAAGCGAGAATGGTATTAACACGGCAAGCATTATGTCGAAGTTTTCTAGTAAATTCTGTGGAGATTGTAATATCTGGAAATGCACCTTTAAGACCTCGACCAACAGTAAATAACATAAAACCTGTAAAAGGTCCAGCTGACACGAATTATGCGCGCTCGCAAATAAAAAATAAACACTTGTTTCATAGGAGATCGCGTTCTCATGAGACACAGAAAAATTTAAAAAGTTTTTCTAAAATAGTTCAGTCTCATGAGGATATTGCTGCTCAAGGCATTTCAAATCCACCAGATGTAGAATATGTCTTTAAAACACCAACAGCCTATAAAAGACGCAGCATATTTACCCCTCAAACAGTAAATAGTAATTCCTCTATGTGCTCATCCACCCCGGCACCTATGAAGATTGAATCATTAGAGATGAAACTTTTCGAATGGCTTAAAAGGGCAAATAGACCTTTATCTGTTCATCATTTGAAATGTTTTGGACTAAAACATGATAGAAATGTCGCTGAAGTCATCGCCAACAAGGAGAATATTGACACTTCAATTCCCAGGTCAGAAAGTTATGAGAACTTGTTTAATATCTCATCACTTAACCAACCTAGACAAGTAAAAACTGAGATGTTAGAGGTACATAATGTTGCTAAGGAGGCTTTATCAGAACTGCACAACCTAATTTGCGAAGTATTTTCAGTGTAGCTTTTATGCTGTTGTATGCATTAGTGACAATTTCAGGGATATCCCATAGAACAGTGTGTGGAGTGGCTACAATTAATGAAAAACAAGCACAACAGACTGGATGAAGAACCAGAATATTGGGAATGTCGAGCAGCAATTGAGCAATTTGCCGGTAACATTAGTAGTGCTGTTGAATGTTACAAGACCGCAATTGTGCAGGGTGCAGAGGTAAGTAGACTTAAATAAAATGCTCAGTTGAAAAAGTATATGTTCAGGTCAATAATATTGATAAATCTCTGGATGAACTTCTTAAAAAATTTAGTCTGTTAAATATAACTCCCACTATCAGCAAAGATGTGACTAACTCGAAGAGGCAGAAGATTATATGTGACGCAAGAAATATTTTTAAATCAACGATAATCCAGTTCGCTGTACAGGAGAGAAAATTACGAAAGTAAGGCAGCCGAGAACCTTTCCTGTTCGTACTACCGTTGACTTTTGTTCCCTGCATTATATTTTAGAAACAAAAACATACCTGACTCTAAATTGGTGGTTACTCCAGTGAGAAGAAGTGCGAGATTATCAACGCATGCTTCCAACTCCACTCAAATGCCAAAAATATTTAATTCCCTGAAAACTATCTCGCCCCGAGATTATGAGTTTAAGAAAAATGAAGCAATATGTTAATTTGTTGTCATATGTTTGTTTTAATCTTTGTAATTATATGGTTCCATTTTTTCAAAAAAAATTGTTAGTGATAAAAATGGGCTATAAATTTGTCCAATGAATAATCACTGTGGTTTTCTTTTTACACTTTGTGGGCACTGCTGCTGGGGCAGCAAAGCCAGTAAACTAAATGCCTGTGATTAAATCGATTAGTTAAAACCTAGCCCTTACCTGTTACCCTTTGGTTGTAATTAATTTTTTTATGCCTCCGTAAAAACAATTCCTGGCGGTGAACGGCGGCAAGACCTAAATTTGATTTTATATTTTCCTTAGAGAAAGGATGGGGTTGCATTCAGTCCAAATTTCAATTTATTACGATTATAAATAAGAGATATGCATTTTTCAAAATTGGTCATCGATTTTTTGGCCAATTTTTCGGCCCAAGCGTCTCGGACTGCCTATAAGTTAACAGCGAATGAGTAGCTGAATTTGGCCAATTTGAAAAATGTTCTACGATTCGTTCACGAGACAGCCGTCATCACAGGCGCAAAATTCAAGCAATCGACGGTAACTTCTTGACAATATACTATTTAAATTGAAATAAAAGACCGCTTTGACGGCGGTCAAAATTATGTGCACCCTAAGACATGCTCCTACATATTGTAAATTTCCCTTTTACTTTAGCGATTTCTTGGAAATGTTGGTTATTTCAGCGATTCCACTAAAACGAAAGAAGCTATCGTCAAGTACAAGTAGATTAATGCGTTGCACAATAACTTTTGGGCTCGACTGCTAGGATCATTTGCCCATTGCCGACTTCCGTCGAGGTTCTTCGCTTTTAGTCATAAACCAACACGTACAAAGAAAAAACAACTAATATTTGCTCAACTAGCAGAAAATAATTTTGACCGATACCAAAAAAAAAAAACGACATCCCCGCGCATCATCCGGGCCCATCCGGCCTCCATACCGGCGTGAACGGTGAAAAACGATGGGGTTCGCGACAATTATCACTTTAAAATATTCACTAAACACTAAATCCACCCAGTGGAGACTGATTTCAAAATTTTTGGCGACGATTACAAAGGATTCTGTAGGGAGCGAACGGAGGTTAAACCGTCTCGAGAGATTCTCCACCACAGAATCAAACTGCCGTCAGAAAATTTGTAAGTTTTGGTTTGGCAATTTTGTGGTTATGTTCAAAGTTGGCCTTGTTTTTGGTTATGTTTCTATTTCTATTTAAACAAACATTGTAAACAAGCGAATAAAAGTATTCGCAAAATATGGGTTTGACAAAAGATTATCTACGTTATATACCATCGGGAACGTTTAATATTATCTCTAGCTCAAATTGTAATGCAATTTTCGTAACACTAGAAGGTCAAATTGGGAGATTTATCGCGGTGGGTGCCTGCGAACATATCGTAATATGGGATTTACGGCTCGGTGAGAAGGTTGGTATTATTTCATAAAACTAACACTGTCGCTTACATTATCTCTGTTTCACAGGCTCAAACCTTGCCTGGAGAAAAGTCGGTTGTTACACGGATTTGTGCCAGTCCAAATAACAGGCATTTAGCTGCTGGGTATTCTGATGGGAATGTACTAGTTTACGATTTGAAATCTGCAGATGTAATTAGTATTTTTTCTGGACATCGTTCTGATATTACAGCTTTAGCTTATGACAGTTTTGGGCATAAAGTTGTTTCGGGATCTAAGGTTGTTATTTTTTTTTTTTTTTTTTTTGTTATATATCCTATACTTCTGTATGTTAGGATACCGATGTAATATTATGGGATACTGTCGCCGAGACGGGTTTGTGCCGCTTTTCAGGCCACAAGGGTCCAATCACTGAATTGGCTTTTCTCTCTGAGCACAATGTGCTAGTGTCCAGCTCCAGGGATCGATTTGTAAAATTTTGGGATCTAGATACCCAGCACTGTTTCAAAACTTTAACAGGGCATCAAACAGAGGTTAGAATTGAATTTTTCTTTTTCTAAACTGATGGAAATCTTTGATCTATAGGTGTGGGGCTTTTGTCTCTTGAAAAATGATAAATATTTAGTAACAGGATGTGAAGATGCTGAGCTCAGGGTGTGGAAATTAACGACACGCGATGCTGACGTGGAAAACAAAAACCCCATTGAACACATGGCAAATATGTTAGAGTTGGCAAGTTTAGAAGATGACGGCGATGATAATTTGGTAGGTTCATTATACAGTGATATCTTAATTTGACTTTGCCAAAAAATCTTCTCTTGTTTTTCACATCTATAAAATTATTGCGACAAAAAAATGTCATTCATATAAATGGATCTATCATTTTTACTTATAATATAGCTTTAGATATATCAATTATTGTTTTTAAGTTGTATATACTTATTAAAAATAAACTGCCTAAAATATTTGTAGTCGTAAGTATGTTTTTTAAAAATTGTTCTGTATTTAAACTAAAAATATAAAAAAAAGCAACATTAACTAGGTAACAATTCCCTAAACTAATTAGAAACACTAGTTGGGTATGGAGTATTTATATTTCGTTGTTGAACAGTTTCATTTTTCTACTGACTGTTCATCTCGATTTATGCGTGCCTCTCTTTCAGCATCCCCTTCAATGTTTTAAAGTCGGCACTTTGCTAAGGAACGGCAAGGGCCGAGTCGTGTCCCTCGCGAGGGATCCGACCGGTCAAGTCTTGGCGTGCCAAGGCAAAGACTCTCACGTCGAGTTGTTTTACTTTTGCTCGGACGACGAAACCCAAACGCGATTTAAAAAGAGGTTAAAGAAGGAGAAGTCGAGAAAAAAAGAGGACGATCAAAACGAGAAAAGTGAAAACCCGCAAGTCACCTTGAAGGACGAGGTGAGGAGATTATCGCAGGTGAAAACGGAAGGTAAACCGAAAGCGTTGGATTTGGTTTTGGGTAACGGGGGCGAGCTCAGGGTGGCGGTGAATTTTGCTGACAACTGCGTAAGGTTGTTCACCATAGAGACCGCGCTGAAGGCAAGTCGTGCGACTTGACGATTTTGGGGGTCTCGACTTAATCTTTACTTAATCCTCAGCATGCGGAATCAAAATGTCTACGCGGTATTATTAGGCCGGGGCATCATACGGAGGTGCGCAGGGTCGCGTTCAGCCATGACAACTCAGCCATAGTCTCCGGGGGCGGGGACTCGGTAAAAATTTGGAACAGACCATCTCAAGTTTGCTTGCGAACTGTGAAAACGGGGTAAATGATATCATCTCACTGGGTGCTAATAATGACGTTGTATCCAATGCCCAAGGCTAAACCATTATAAATGGTACCCATCACCTTCAATTTTTTTACTTTCCATTTTAGAACAAAAAAAAGTTTATTACAAAAGTAGTAGGGTTGAATGAGTTATATACATGGTGTGACAAAAAAGCGTAGAATATCGAAGCTGTATATTTTTTAAGTAATATTATTTTATAAAAAGAAAGGTCTGAGATGTCGTAGTTATTTCTTGCATAGAAATAAAATCTTCACTTAGTTGGCCATGCATCATCATGCGTCACGTTTTTTGTTTAATTGTGACAGTTACAGCATATTTTGAATGTTATTGTTCAAAATTCGAAATATATATAAAAAATGCCAAGCACAAGACATGAATATATGGACATACAAGGGGAAAATAGGTATCTATACAACACTTCAAAGAAACAAAATTTTTGAAGCCAAGAACTGGGCAGTGTATTTATTGAATCGTAAATAATAATAATAATAACATTAAACATGTGCCACATGATGGTGTAATGTAAAAAATAAGTAATACATGTTATTTCAGTTAAATAAGAATAAAAGGAATTTTTTTATGAAATACAATGCTTACATGAAAACCAAATACTCCTTTGGTATATTATGCATTTTTGGTTAGTTTTGTAGTTTTATATAAATAGGTATGTAACAATAAAATTACACATTAAACCCGGAGAGGTGTGTGGTGTTGTGTACACTTTTTTTTTTCTAAAATGCAAATTAAAAAGAAAAAAACATTAATCAAATCATTCGCAACCGGTATAAAATCAAAAAGTAAGTGAAAAAACAATTGAAAACTATTAGCGCGCAAAAGTCAAATATGAATTATGCAAACTTAACCTCAATTCTTATTAATTGCTTATTTATTTTTTCATTGAAGGAACTGTGTTTAGTTTGTCATAAATATTTAGATAAAGTTTGGAATTAAACCAAATATGTCTTTTCAAATTGTGCAAATGAAAGAAGCTTCGAAAACAGCGCCTATGAGAAATAGAATGGGACGCTATAAAACGTTTTTTGGAAAACCGGAGTTACCAACAACAAACATTATTTAGATGAAGCGAAGCAAACGTCTTACTTTTATTATGCAACTATAAAAAGTGTTACAAAAGTTCAGGTTTCTCATAATAACATCTTAGCTGATAAAAATGTTACACTGGAGTATGTTTTTGGCTGTTTAGATCATCACCCAGCTTTGACAAATGCATCTATTCCAAACTAACCAAAATAGGGTGTGAATTTGTGTTGAATGTTGGTTTCTGGTCAAATTTTGATTGATGACTATTTGGGTCGCCTTTGGATATAACGTCATTTGACGAGACATCGAGGGTGGAGGCTGATGTGAGGTTTTTGTTGTTGCAGGAACGTGTCGTGCGTCGCATTCGTTCACAGTGACAGACACGTTCTAGCAGGATTAAAGGACGGTAGTTTGTTGATAATCGACATTGAGGTGGCCGATATTCTGGAAGCAATTCCCGCTCACGACGGCGCGTTGAACACAATCTGTCTTTTACCCAACAGTGTAAGTTTGTACGTAAACAAGGCAAAAAGGGTCACTCTCAATATTCAATATTCAATATTTTTGTGTGAAAATTGATTTATAGAAGAATTGCAGAAGTTGAATGTTAACCTGGCAGTTGGAGGACTAAAAAGAAGAAGTCGCACTATTTAGTGTATTTGTTTTTATTTTTATTATTCATTTTTCTTTAAACAATAATGTAGTTATGATTCAACGCAATATATGTATATTGTCATCGGCATATTCTTTTTTGTTTTTTTCAATAACTTGAAATTATTACACCATTTCCATTGTTTGAACATATATTGGAATTGACATTATGACATGTATTTTATGTTAATTAAATTGATTAAATACTAACTTAACCTAAGTCTAGTCCTCCAACGACTGTTATCAATTTATTGAGAGTCTGGAAGAGAGCCTTAAGTCTATGAATATGCCCAACATTCCTTATGATGTCATGCATCTGGATTTTGACCAACAATGTTGGGCGTATGCTGTCGGTACATGTTTAAAGGGCCTTACAGGGATTTCCCCTTATGAAATTTTGCATTTTTGTTTTTAAAAAACCATGAAAAAGTTCCGCTGCCTGCTAAGGAAGTTGACGTACTTAAGTTGAGGGTGGCCCCAGCGATCGTCCTCCTTCGAAGGTTCGGTAGACGCGTTGAGAGTTTTGATTGTTTTCAGAGCGGCTGCGCGACCGGTGGTGACGATAAGACCGTGAAATTCTGGCAGTATGAGCTGGTGGTCGACTCGAGAAGCGAGTCAAAGGTTAAAGTGTTGTCTCTATTGCACACGCGAACACTTAGCCTCGACGACAAAGTATTGTGCGTAAAGATGTCGCCCAACGGCAAATTCGTAGCCGCCGCTCTGCTCGATACTACCGTGAAAATATTTTTTGCCGATACGTTTAAGGTGGGTATTCGGGATATAATTTAGCTAAGCTAAATTTATTCGAAATTTTGGCGAAATTGGAAGTTTCCCGGCACCTCCGCCAAATTTTTGAGGCTCATTTCCCGATATTTTTAATTTCTATTTTTGACTGGAACTCTTGCAGTTTTATTTGTCGCTGTACGGACATAAGCTGCCCGTTTACTGCATGGACATATCGAGCGACTCGTCGTTGATAGCGACCGGCTCGGGCGATCGGAACGTGAAAATCTGGGGATTGGATTTCGGGGACTGTCACAAAAGTATTTTCGCTCATGATGACACCGTCACCGGCCTGGGGTTCGTTCCAAACACCCATTACTTTTTCACGTGTGGCAAAGACGGCAAAGTGAAGCAGTGGGACGGCGATAAGTACCACAAAATTATCACTTTGCAGGTGAGTTTTTAAAATGGCGAGAAGCCTGACGTAGTACGCGTTTGCATGAAAAGAAAAGTAGAACAAGAAATTCAAAACTATAAGTAATTAAATATAAGTGGATGAATAAAAGGTTTCTAGATGCAAAGTATATTGGTCAAAATTCTATGGTGGTATTTGTATTAGCAACCATAGTGGTGTGAAAGTTGAGCTGTCCTTGGGTGGTCTATCTGCAATTCAGTGGAAGCTGAACACATATAATGTCATTTGTTAAGGGGTATTCTGTATATGTAAACTAAAGTAACAAACCTAGAGATCGAAAATATTGGTTCCTTAGATGAAAGGATCACACTTTTTTGTCTACAAATTTTTTGTGCACTGATTCTCAGTCTTAGGGAGTCTCTTTTTCTAGAGATCGTTACAACTATTACTTTTCTAGTGTGTAGTCACCAATTAATACCATAAAATTCTGTTTTGGGGTTTTTCCAACAATGCCGATCGGTGCCTTGAAGATTGCATTCCCAGCCTCCAACGGAGGACGTCCTCTAAAACGTATTTTAGCACTAGGTTTACAGCTCCTTTACTGTATTATCTTGCCTTGGTTATGTTCGTTAAGAAAAATCCTACTCTCTTTATCAACTTTGACTTTTTATCATCCCCCTCACAACTATATAATATTGAATTAGGACTTCATCCTTTATTAACGTCTATATTTTAAAGATTGATGTCTTTAAGAGTGAAACATGTACTGAATTCCCAAATTTCTCGGAATTTTTGTGTTGTGTTTTCAGCATTTAGGACATAGGTGAGTGTAGCATCTAATGTCAGCGCAACAAGAATGTCGCTGTTGTCATACTTCCAAAAGTGCTCAGGATTCATTAATGTTGATTGACCCGTTTATGCCATTCACGCAAATTCTATAGGGACTTTTAAAATTTGCAAAAAAAGTGTTCGTTCTTTTTTTATGAAGTATTAGTGTTAGGTGTCCATATATTAATTTCCTTTTATTATGTATTATAGTAATTGAAAAATGTATTTATAAAACGGCCCTGACGTTTTGCATATTCGGCAATTTTCGGAATAGTTCGGTTAATTGACATTCTTTATTTTGCAAACTGTTAATTTTATTTTGTCTCTAAGTACGTATAGTGGAAACCACCTATATAGATAATTAACCAAAATGAAATATTTTAACTGCATTTTATAAATTAATTTGCTATCTGAGCCGTGATTTCACTTGTATTTTAACCTCTCTGTTTGGTTAAATGTTTCGGCCGCTTTCGGGTGTTCTTCGCCGGTGCCTCGGGTGCCCAATCTCATAAGACATACGTTCGGCAGAATTATCGATCGCACGTGATCGCTTGTGACGTAAGCGAAGACCTCTAACGGTTTTCGTTTATTCGGTCAATGCATTTGAACGCGTATTAAAGCGTTGTATTTTGTGTTCTTTGAACAATTAAAATAATTTGAACTAGTGAGTAGTGCGTTTATGTTTGTGTTAATTATATTTCTGTAAAAAAAATTGGACAAACCAGTGTTTTTAAGGTTTAATAAATAGTTTAAAAGACTTAAAAGTTTTGTGTTCGTGCCGCTTATTAGCGGTGTTATTAGTTAGGAGGTGAGCTCATAATATTACACATAATAATATAGGTAACGGTAAGAAATACATTTCTTTTACCTTTTTCAAGGGGTGGTAAAAAACTTAGCAAAAAAAAATTTAAAACAGAAAAATAATTACTATTTAGTTTAGATAGAGATTTTTGTAAGCTGAGAACGATAAGTCGTATGAACTTCAGAAATTTAAAAGTAAAATATAACGTTAGTCTAAAAAGAAAATCTTTCCAAGGTGATACCTGCAGAAAAAAATTGACAAAAGGCAAGTTTTAGTGGAATCTTTTAGAATTCGAAAATGGCGACTGGAATATCTAGAAAAAAATGAGGATTTACAGAGAACAACAAAGGCCAATTATATTTACTTGGATGAAACCTGGATCGACACTTATGATACCCCGGAAAAGGGTTGGGTAGACTCAACTGATACGTGTGAAACAAACGCGCCATCAAAAAGAGGTAAAAGAATAACTATTTCGCATGTTGGTTCTAAAGATGGTTGGATTCCAAATGGACTTTCTCTGTCTGCGAAAAATATTAAAGATTCTTCTCTGGATTACCATGAAGACACCACCGCCGATTTAATTGAAAGTTGGTTTAAAATCAAACTAGTTCCAAACATTCCTCCAAATAGCGTCATTGTAATGGACAGTGCAAGTTATCACAGTAGACAGTTGTCTAAAACCCGTTCCTCATGTGACACAAAAGCAACAATCCAAAACTATAAGGTTGTTCGGAAAGTCATTTCGTTTTTTCCCGTCAGAGGACTTACTTACGTTTTTTCGAAACCAACTTCACACTTAAGCTGCATAACCATTATATGCCTTGAGAGCTGATATTGCAAGGCTTGTGTGTGAAAAAGTTCTATTAATTCTACGCAGTAGTTGTTGGTTGGTGCCCTTTTAAATATGGAGAGCAATAAGCAGCATTTTCGTCATATTTTATTTTTTACTTCAGAAAAGGTAAAAATGCTGTCCAAACGAGAAAAAAATTGACGGATGTGTATGGAGAAGGCGTGTTAACAGTACGCCAGTGCCAGAACTGGTTTGCAAAATTTCGATCCGGCAATTTTGATGTCGAAGATGCACGACGGTCTGGAAGGCCGGTCGAAGCTGACAAAGATGCGATAAAGGCATTAGTTGATGCATATCGGCGAATAACCACACGAGAGATCGGTCAGAGATTAAATTTGTCGAATTCGACTGTTTATGGCCATTTGAAAGGCATGGGCTTAACCTCGAAGCTCGATGTGTGGGTGCCCCATGTCCTTACGGAGCGAAATTTGTGTCGTCGCGTTGACGTGTGGGATTCGCTCCTCAAACTTCAAGAAAATGATCCATTTTTGAAGCGGATTATTACTGGGGATGAAAAATGGGTTGTATACAACATTGTTAAACGCAAGAGGTCATGGAGCAGAAAAGATGAACCGGCTCAAAGCGTGTCAAAAGCCAACATTCACCAAAAAAAGGTGATGCTCTCCGTTTGGTGGGATGTCGAAGGAATCGTTTTTTTTTTGAGCTTTTGCCGGACAATACAACGATTAATTCAGAAGTCTATTGTCATCAACTGGACAAATTGAATGATTCACTTAAAGAGAAGAGGTCCGAATTAATCAACAGGAAGGGTGTAGTGTTCCACCAGGATAATGCGAGACCTCACACAAGTTTGGTCACTCGCCAAAAACTTTTACGGCTTGAATGGGACGTACTGCAACATCCACCATATTCTCCAGATCTGGCGCCTTCCGACTACTATTTGTTCCGGTCCCTGCAAAATTTTTTGGATGGCAAAACCTTTACCTCAAATGAAGATGTCAAAAACGACCTGAACCAGTTTTTTGCCAGCAAGGACCAAAACTTTTATGAGAGGGGAATTATGTTACTGCCAGAAAGATGGCAAAAGGTGTTGGACCAGAATGGCCAATATATAATTTAATAAAATATTTATTCATTATACGAAAACTGTCTTTCATGTTCCCCAAAAAAAACGAAATGACTTTCCGAACAACCCAATACATGTATAATAACGACATTTATTTTCACGAAGGTTATACCAAAAAGCAATTAATTGAGGTTCTACAAACCTTGAATCTACAAAAGGAATCCGTCTGTGATAATAATGCAAAAAATCTAGGGCATAGAGTTTTACCACTGTATATTTAATCCCATTGAACATGTTTGGCACCAACTGAAATCTGCCATTCGCCGTAACAATGTTTTTCTCCGTGCTAACTCCAATTTCCTCAAACTTACAGAAACCGAAGTTTTTAACATCCCTCCACAAAGTTGGGCAAATTCTGTTAAACATATAGAAAAAGCAGAACAATCGTATATCCATATTGCAAATGTAGAACAAATAAAGGTAATAAATACAATTTGTAATTTTATTTTAGATTTAAACATAAATACATCCATACATAAATAAATATTGTTTAGTATCCTTCCTAACGAGACCCCAAATAATTAAATTCTAAGCACTTACTTCACAGCCAGCGAGAGTTTTCGGAGGCAATTATATTAGGTTTACGATTCTTGCGACAAATGCACATTATAGCATTTGTGGTTTTCCCATTCAAGGGCCATGCCGGCGAAGCGTATTCGCTCAGCGTCAGTTTCGACGGACGCTACCTGGTCTCTTGCGGTTCCGACCGGGTCCTGCGACTGTTCGAACGATCCCAGCAGCTCGTCGTACTGCAGGACGAAGAAGAGGAGGAACGGGAACAGCAGGAGGGTTTGGCGACCGGAGAACAAACCGTCGTCCCCGGTCAGCCGGGTCTCAGTCTGCCTTCCAAGAAAACGATCGGTAGCGAGAAAGCCGTAAGTGGTGGAAAAAATCTTTTTTCTCAACAAAAATTTGATTAGGTTAAAAGAAAATCGTTTTTCCTGAATAATTTTTAAAAACGCTTGGTTTTTTATTATCATGACGGTGCCTTCTCCTGTAAATGTTGAAGATTAAATATGTACAGGGTGCGGCAGCATAACTTCCTTTTTTTAAATGCGCGCCATTCAGTTAGTTGATGTCATAGTGGGGCGCTAGTGGTCTCGTTTAAGAGGAGGTACTGTAAAGTTTTGTCCCGACACGGTTCAGTCGCCATCATGCGTTGGAATAGTGAGGAGCGTGCCTTTGCCGTTGAGGCCTACTTTTCAAGCGGTTGTTCGGTTGTTGCAACACAGCGTGCATTTCGGAATCGCTTTAATTTAGCCCCGTTGGCTCCCGTCCCAGACCGCAAATCAATTGTTACATGGGTCACTACATTCAGACAAACTGCAAGTGCGACAAAACGAAGAACTGGAGTCCCTCGGCCCGTTAGATCACCTGAGAACATTGAAGCAGTGAGAGCTTCAATGTTGCGATCACCACGGCGTTCTGCGCGCAAACGCGCATCTGCCCTTGGACTTTCCGATCGTTCTGTGAGAAGCATCCTTCGTGATGATCTTCATTTTCATCCCTATAAGATGGCGATAGTGCAGGAACTTACAGAACGTGACTTCAATTCTCGGATGAACGCGTGTGAGCTTCTTCTTGATGTCGTTCCCGAGGGTGCTATTGTTTTTTTTAGCGATGAAGCCCATTTTCATTTATGTGGGTCGGTTAACAAACAAAACATGCGCTACTGGGCTGACACCAACCCTCGACAATTGCATCAAAGGCCTTTGCATTCACCCAAAGTCACAGTGTGGTGTGCAATTTCCTCAGCTGGAATTATTGGTCCCTGGTTTTTTGAGTAAAATGAGGTTACAGTGACAGTGAATTCGGACCGGTATGTAAACATGCTACAGAATTTTTTTTTCCCACGGCTAGAAGAGTTGGATTTGGGGGACACTTGGTTCCAACAAGACGGTGCAACAGCACACACTTCAAGAGCATCGATGACTGTTTTGAGGGAACACTTTCCAGAGCGCCTTATCTCAATTAGAGGCGATTTGGAATGGCCGGCACGCTCTCCCGATCTGTCCCCTTGTGATTTTTTTCTATGGGGTTTTTTGAAATCCCTGGTTTATGTGAACCGTCCAAGAACCCTACAAGATTTGAAGACCAACATCGAAGAAGAAATTGCCAACATAACACCAGCTATGCTAACAAGAGTCATGACAAACGCCAGATATCGGTTTACGCAATGTATGGAGAATGAGGGACGTCACCTAACAGATTTGATCTTCAAAACAATGTAAATAAAAACTTTAGACATGTACCTACATTATAAAAAATAAATAAAGATTTTCCGATGCACACAATAGTTTTTATTGAGTTTTGAAAAAAGGAAGTTATGCTGCCGCACCCTGTATATATGGAGTATTTCGGAAACTGTGTAGAGCAATAAAACGCGAAATTTCGTCCACTTCTTCTAAATTTCGGTATCGGCCATAGGCGTAGCTTTGTGTTATAAAATTATTTTTGTTCCCTTACCATCGTACCTGATAAATGACACTTTAATGGTAGGCTTAATAAAACATACTTACGGTGGGACCTTTAAAAGTATATTTGGTTAGTTTAGTTAGTTCACTGTGTTAGTAATAAAATGGCGGCATTCACACCAACCAAAAGATATTCCAAAAATTATCCATCATTTTTTGGTATATATAGTAGCAGGTAGTTTGTAAAAAACAATTGTCATGTAAAAATATATAAATTGCTTGAAAATCGGAACTTTTAGTTCTTATTTATTTTGAGTACTATTTTGTTTGTTGATTTTGTTGTTGCCATTCTTCCAAGTATGCAATTAGACCAGAAAAAGATTATAATTAGGTGCCTTCTCGAGCTGCACCCCCGCAACCTGTATTGTATTATGGTACTCTGGGTATCCTTCCAGTTCCTTTCGATAAGAAGAATCATAGACTAAAAACAACTTTTGGCTAGGTCTTTTCCTACTGTTACCAGGTACTTATATTTCTGAGGGAGACTTTAATTCTATTAAAAAAGAAATCGCGCACTTGAGTCTAACTGGAAGCCGCGTTGTAGGCCGAAAGCATTCTGGAATGTCTGGAGGTGAGCGAGAAATATCGGGAACAGTTGGCGGAACACCAGGCGCTGCAGGCCGCGTCCGCACAGCCCATAACGGCCCCCGCGCCGCCGCTGCTCATGCAAGCCTTGAACGTCTCCTCTCCCGGCGAATTCCTTTTGGAAACGTTGAAAAGAATACGGGCGAGCGACTTGGAAGAAGCGTTGCTGATCCTGCCGTTCGGGTCGGTGTGCGTCCTGCTGGAACAGCTGCCGGAGTTGATCGCTCGGGGCGATTGTATCGAGTTGACTTGCAAGGTCGCCACCTTTCTGTTGAAGCTTCACAACGCGCCCATCGTCGCCAATCAGCTCCTGCTTCCCACGTTGGAGAAGCTGCAGAAGCTCATGTCGCAGAGGGTCTCTGAACTGAGGGTGAGTTATTTCAAAGGCGTCCTTCTTTTCTATTAGGTGATTTAGTTTCTTTTTTTCTTTTTCTGATGCTATATAACGGTTTACTATATATATATATATATATACCTATATATATCTGGCCACCCTGCAGTCTTAGAAGCCCAAACAATCATATTTTTATTTACATAAACGGTGCAAATGCGAAAGCAAAAAGAAATAAGAACTAAAAGTTCAGATTTTCACGAAATTATATATTTTTACATGACAATTGTTTCGACGACACCCCGTGTCTTTATCAAACACATTTGATAAAGACACGGTGTTGTCGAAACAATTGTCATGTCATAATATATAATTTCGTGAAAATCTGAACTTTTAGTTCTTATTTATTTTGATAAATGGATTTTCATCAAGTAAAAGCCACCTCAGTTCAATTTTTGAAAGCAAAAAGTGTTTCCAAAAAAAAACGCCTTGGCTTTAAATTTGTAAACTTGATGTTTGGAGGCTGGGTTTGACCAGCTTCATCTTCTTAATTCATTATCGTATTCGTAATTTTGTCAGGCGATTGTAAACAAACGACATTGATTAAGGTTAAGCTGAACTCAAAATTGTCAAATGTCAAAGCCGCCTATATTGTCGGTGACAAACCAGACTTAAAGGCAACTCTGCATATTTCAGTTCAGCGATAAAGAAATCTTTTTAAATGTATGTTGCGGTCCTTATTTGAGAAAATCCGAAAATCCCAAACAGAAGACAAGATTGTCCTGTTGTGACCATCCTTCTCAGCTCGCATTTTGGTCGTTCACAGTGTCCGGTACTTTTATTGCACCATTTTTGAAGTATTTTCGAAAGCTCTTTGTGTTTTTCGCAAACTACAGAAATTCTAGAGGCATCAAAATCGCAAAATTAACGACATTTTATTTTTTTTTATTTTTTTGTTACTGGTCCACGTCAAATTTAAATAGGACAAACAAAGTTTCCATTACTTTTCTTAAAATCACGAGTCAAAATAAAAATAATGTAGAAACGTCAAACGTTGGACATAACCTAAAAGGAACATTTTAAAAGCCATGAACCACACAGAACATTGGCACGTTCTGCATAAAACGGCTTTAGGGTAACAATATATTTTCCATGTACAAGGTTATTCAATATATTGTGACACCCACCTGCAGGGTTAATTTTGTTAGAAAAAAAATGTAAACAAAAGTGTGAAATATAAAGATTAAGAAAGTAGAACTCAGTTATTATGTCAAGTGTCGTAATAGTATAAAAATAACTTACCTTGAAAGTAAAGTAATATATTGAGATTTTCATCAAATCTCTTTCTATTGGCCTGATCTTCCGTGTTATTTCGGTCCTCAAATTTTTTAATTGTATTTATTCTTCTACCCGGATATATTTATCGATAATCTCTTTTAACTCTCGCAACATTATGTCCGTTTGAATATTATTTTATTACTTGGCGGTTTTGAAATATCTTAACTTACGCTACAGGTCTTTAGTTTTGATTAGTTGTCAAAAGCAGAACATTGTTAAAACAATTGCAAACATAGATAATATGGTTGCTATCAAGGCAGACTTGACCATTTTTAAACAATATGCCTATATTTTTAAACTGAAACGTCTCAAAATTGGCTAAAAGTCAATAAACTATATGTTTTTGAGATCAGGAAAAAAAGTCTGCTAATATATAGGGCATTCCATTAAAAAAAAATGGTGTTGCTGTCATTTTGACAGCTTGCGGTCGTCGTTTGTTTTTTCTGACATTTGCATAAGATAATAGATAGATTAGAAATCTCCAAAATTTTGTATTTATACTTTTTTTTCCTATCTTTCAAAATGTAAGGATCCCGAAAGCAAAACCCGAATAGGGGCTATTGGATGATGCTTCACAAAGTAATCCAAAGTTGTTATTTAATTGTAGGACTTGGTGGGTTACAATTATTACGGGCTCCAATTTCTACAAGGGCAAATCGAAGCAGCGGAGGGTGTGCAACTTTTCAGGGACGCGACGTTGGAAAAGGGGAAAGGAGAAAGAAAGAGGAAAAAGAGAGAGAAATTGAAGAGGTCCATATTGACGCTCAGCACGTAGGCTACCTCATTTTTCCAGCAATTAAATATTTTTAATTACGTTTTTTGTTTTTTTTTTGGGATGGGGAGTATTGAAATGACTCACTTAAGTTTACAATACTTTTAATTTAAATTATTTATTACAATTACGTGGAAATAATAAACAAATATTCTAAGGTTTTTTGTTGGGGAAACTCATCTATGTACACAATAGGGTTCGGAAGAGACAAATCTACATAAAAAAAATATATGATACCGTGTGAGTTAAAACTACGTCTCTCGCTGGCGTGACGTAAACTGGTTGATAAAACAATGAATTCTGTTAATATGTTTGAAAGCCGTGGAATCGTTAGTTTTTGAATCGAGAAACTAGAATCGTCTGGGTAATAAAGTCCGACATCGTTCTTTCTTTTGCAATTACTGTCTGTAATAATCGAACAAAAAGTATACATTTAGGTGTTGAGTTATTCTGAGAATGAAAAAAAAAACAAAAAATATCTTTCTTTTTGTCATTTTGATAGTGGAAAAATGAAGCGAGACTGTTTATTTTGATTGAAAAAAAAAGAACAACATGGACTTACCCGTTCAATGGCTTTTTTTACAAATAGTTTTAAAATTTGACGCCGATAATGTGATTTTCTTATATTTCTCGCAAAAAAAATTGACCAATCCTGGTCGACGAAGCAGTCGCAATGGACTTGTAGAAGAAAAAGAAAATACTTGAAGGGCTTTGGTTTGTTGGAGCGCTTTTTTTACACCGCCAAACCACAAATATCGCCACAATAGTTACCAACGTCGGCAAATGTAAAATATTTTTCTGATTAAGATCAGAACAATTTAAAGACTAAAAAAACTAAGACCAAGAAAATTCTGAATCAAAAGCGCTTTTCAAATCCTGAGATAGCATGTGTGAGAACGAAACCAGTGCGATTAGTTACGGTTGTCTTTATTCTTCAGCATTTGACATTTACTGAAGAAAAGAAGGTAAATATTTTTGCGGGACCTATATCGCATTAAGTAAAGGTTTCTCAGTGTTTTTTTAATTGTTTGTGTCGTCTTTAAGGGCTTTCATTAGAAAAAATCAATTTAAATTTGACATTTACTGAAAAAAACAACTTAACGGAAAAATGCGATATTTGCGGTTAAAGCGTGAACATAAATCTTAGGAGAAAGGCCCCTAACTTGTAAGGTATCGCAATAAATTAGGAACGAGGTGCTTTATAATATCTAAATTACAATTAATACGAATAGGTTATTGCCAATAATCCTAAATGCCCGTGCATTTATTATTGGAATAAAAAAATTACTGCGTATCTACATTTATACAAGAAAATATAATTTATATATATATATTTATATATTCGTACCCTCGGGTGGGGGTTTCATTCGCTTTCGAGCGGCGACAGTTCCCCTCCGCCGCCGCGCCCCCAGCCGGCCTGTTTCAAAGCGAATAAATTCGCCACCCGGGGCGCATACAAATAAAAATAACAAGTTAACAATAATTAACAAAAATGTCGGCGAGGCTTTGATCAAACTTGAAAAACTACATCCGGGAATGTAACACGTTACCTTACTACGTCAAGGTAAAAGAGTGCGATTGACGTAATAATAATAATTAAAAAAAAAACAATAATATAATCGAACTGCACAAAATTTACATGTCTGCATTAACCGTTTTTTTTTTGCTAAAAAAATACCTGCGATTAGGTACTTATTTACAAGGGAAAAAAGAATCAATAACTTACTGGTTTAAACTTAAGGGGCTCAGACTTAAATACATCAGACTTGCGGGCCCCCCCGTGGAAGAGGGACGGATCTCATTCGATTACACATTTTGGAAAAGTAAAAAATATATATATATAAAGGTCACAGGAGGGGGGGAGAAGATAAACACGTAAAATATAAATAAATAAAATGTTAACGCCGGCTCGGGAAATCCCGCAAAGCTGCCAAATCGAATTGACAAAATTTTAAAAAAATAATACACACGTAGGGGTACATAGCAGAAGCTGCGTATAACAAAGTGAATTGATTACTTTTTATTTCTCTCGTTATAATTTAGTCTACACGTATATCACTAAGCACAGTTTTTGCCCCCACCTTCTCGACGGAAAGCGCGCGAAACGCAAACAATAGGAACTCTCTCCTGGGAGGGATGGGGCGGATCTCAAACGCCCCACGGGGGTGCTGCCGGTCGCAGGGGCGGCGGCGTGTCCTGGTGATGATGGTGGCGGTGGTTGTGGTGGTCGCCCCTGTCCTGCGGGGGGGCGGCGTCCGTCACTTGGACCGACGTCGGCCTGCCTGCGCAGCCCTCACCGCGCCCCATCCCCGGGACTTTCGCCACTTCCGCGTTGTCAGGGGTCGGACTTTTCTGGCGCTTGCGCCAGTGCAGGTACGCAGCGACGCAGAGGATCACCACCGAGAAGACGGCGATGGTGGCGCCGCCCGCGATAGACGCCGTTTCCAACATGAATCGCCTCTGGGAAGCTACAACACACGAATGAAGGATAAATATTGGACAAGCTAAAATAAATCGCAAATTATGACACATTTAATGAAAGGTGTAGACATATAGAGGCCCTGCCTGCATGAAGCAGCTATGTTTTTTGAGAAGGTCCATTCAACGTGCGCAATGGCAGCTCTGATTGTAAACTATGACGTTGGAACCTTGGAGGTTTCAACAAGCAACACATTGTCAATGTCTGGATATGGTAGTATCTTCTCAAAATATGTCGAAAAAAAGGTGTCCGACATAAGATACTTCAGTCTTACTCTTGCTTTGAGAGAATCATCGGAGAGATTATTATTATGACTTGGAAATGAAGCCCAAAAACCCCCCATGAACAAATATTTCTCTCATGTACAAGATGGAAAGATATCCATAAAAATTTTCACATTCACAAATTATGTGTAGAATTTTTATGTGGAATGTGGAATTATTTGATAAATTTCAGTCAAGTTAGATGCACATCAGAAATGAAACCGTCAAATAAGTAACAAAAAAAATGTAAAAAGATACCAATCGACACTCTAATATAGACTGTCAAGTACAATCAACAACTAGAATGACCAAAAACAAGTAACCCGATGTGCAATTGACAACAATATCTACGTAAAAGACCCTTTACTGCCTACTTTATCAAGCGTTTACCACCTCTCGTATATATGAAGGAGTGCCCTTGCAGTTCTGTTTTCGAAAAGGAATGTTACCAATCGTTTCCTTACAATTTTTTGGTAAATGGGGGGTTTTCAGGCAAAAGACACGCTTTATTTTTTAATGATGATTATAGTTGAAGGAACGGTACAAAGTCCGAAGCAAGCTAGCTAACCTTTTTTAACACTCAAAAAACTTTTTCTATACAGAGGTAGCCCGAGTTATTGAGTCCTATCATAGTGTTAACTGCGTTTAGTTTTAGTTTGATATGTTGTTCATAGAGTTCGCCACTTGGGACTACTGCTAAATGTTAATAATGAATAATTTTTAAGATTTCAAAACCAGACTTTTGAAAAAATGTTATGCATATTATTCTTCTATTTTACAGTAAAAATAAAAGTCTGAAATGATTTTACTGCAAAGCGTCAACAACGAGAAACAAATTTCAAATTTTTCATTCAACGGTAGTTTCTCATTTACCCACAGTATTCAGATGACCTACTTTCAATGATTCGCTAAACGTTTCATAAATCTCAAGGCAGATGGCGCTCGAGTCATATAAATTCCATTTTTAAAGACAAAAGTTATCGAACCGCAATTCCGTGTGAACTCAAAACATTAACCAAAAAAGTGTTTTTTCGGTTTGATCATGGAAATAAGAATTTATGAGGTAATTAAGAATGAAATAATGAAGAATCAACTGTAACAACGCGAATATATAAAAACCCACTGAGCCGCCAAAACCACCTAACCTCAACCTCAGAAAACTTGACAATTCCAACCATACTGAAAAAAGCATGACCACAATAATTTGCCTTGGTCAAGGCCCGACGCCATTAAATCTCATTTGAATGGTTGTATTTGGTAGCATTCAACAGTCACCGATTTGTTCTCTGATAAGTCTGGGTTGACTAGAAATATTTCGCAGTATTTAAATATGACATTTAAAAAGTAACACCAACTACTAATATTTAAATTTAAATATAAAATATAAATATTTAATATTTAAATTTAAAATTGTGTTACTTTACGATAATTTTTCATATGTAGTTTGTATTTCCCTTAGAGTTAATACTCGTATAAATTTCATTTCTTTCAAGGTGAACAAAAAAAAAATACTTACGCATATAAGATCCGTCTAGGTCTTTGTACTCGCACCTAGATCCCATGTACCCTTCTGCACACCTACAATAACAAGAACTTTGTTAATTATGCCTAGCTTGGCAACAAAGCGTACCGCCCCAATCGCTAGATTCTTGTCAATTATTGTAATTTTCCTAGTCCACATAGCGAATACCACACCCAAAACACGAAAAGCAGCCGCACGGAAATAAAAACTCGTTTAGCCGCAACAATAACCTCAACCGCACTATAACCTCAACAATACGACCCCAGAGAAACAAGAAAAATAACCACCTTGCTCCTTCAGCAATTGTGTGCCGTGGCCACAGAATATTAGAGATTACTCACAGTTTGCGCAACGTACAAGCAAAGATGAGCGTAGTTCTTCAAAAATGTGTATAAAATTTTCTATTTGCGCAATCAATTATCATAAATTTAATCTTGTAAAATTTTAAAACTACAATAATTTACAAACAAAAAAAATTAATACCTACGCCTAGGCATAGCTAGGAATATCTACATATAATTACATTTTTATTCTCAATGTCTAAATCTAATTCTGTTTCACTATCAGAATCATCATTGAGGTGAATTATAATAGGAATAATGTATAGAAATGCAAGAGTCGTCAATTTTTATAATGTGCTGTATTGAATTTTTCCAGTTTTCCATTGGTATATTATTAATTACATTTTTTATCAGATTTATAACAAATTCATATGGAGAAGGACGTAAAACAGTGTGCTCAGCCCGTTCAGCCAAATTATCGCATACATAATGTTATTTAATTGCATATGCATGTAGGACTTTCAAAAGTAAATATAATTTTCTAACAAATATTTCCGGATTTTCTTTTGTTTTTCGTATATCGCTATAAAACACGATAAATGTCCGAAATTTGTAGCTATCGATTTCAAAATTGGCATAAATATTGAGTTTAGTTCCCTTACGGAACGTATTGAAATTGGGGAGGCTGGGGGGTCGGGAACCAAACGATGCGGAAGATATGGACAAAAAATCTTTTCTCCTGAAAATTGGGATCCCTTTGTAATGATAATTGACCATAACTGGAAGGCGGTGATTCTGTTGTCAGTTTTTTTTCACACAATAGCTTGTATGGAGGGCTAAAACTTTTTTATTTAAAGTTTTCACATATTGTACAGCGTGTTCGGGATATTCCGTGCTTTATTCAAAAACGTTATAAGTGACTCAAATATGTAGCTGTCGACTATAAATTCGGCAAGGAAGTAAAAGTCCGTGCCCACATCTAAACAGTAGAATTTGAGAGTAATCAAGTATCGCCAAATACGTTTTTAAAATTTTTGAAAATTTTTCTTTGATTATTTTGGATTCCAGAAAAACACGATTTTCTCAAAAACGATTTAACTGATCAGCAAAATATTAAAACCGGGATATCCGGTGCTATAACATCCATTTCAGGCATTTTTTCGATTATATGCAGGAATTTTGAAAGTAGTATGTTTACCCCTTTTCACCATCCACCGTCCTCCGGGGGAGATTTTGAAATTGCAAATTTACAGATTTCAAACCAAGCCAAAAAAATAAAAAAACAAGTTTGACCAGTCTACGAGAGCACATCAATAGCTCAGGTTTTGATAGCCAGATGTCACCCTTAATGGGGGTAGGGGGTAGTTTTTGTGTTTGTGCTTTTTTGCCAACTTTTTTTGTGCCCACGTTTATATCGCGGAGGGAGATTATTAAGTCACGGGACCTAGGTGACTTAATAATCTCGGCCAAACACAAACACAAAAACTACCCCCTACCCTTATTAAGGCTGACATTTGGCAATCAAAACATGAGCTATTAATGCGCGAAATCTCTTGTCAACTGGTTAAACTATTTTTTTTTTATTTGGTTTAGGATCTGTAAATTTGTAATCCCAAAATCTCCCCCGGAGGACGGGAGATGGTGAAAAGTCAAAATTCGTAAAAAATATGTGAAATTGGTTTAAACTGTGTCATAGACCACATCGAGACTTACAATTTGTGTATTTACAGTCTTCATATATCACATATATAAACTCCAAATAAAAATCACTGGCGAAAGTTCCATAGTTCCATAGTCCGTAGGAGCACGATAGAAAAACAGCGCGTCCCTTAACGAAAAAAAACCCGGATTGGCTTCTTTGTGAAATAAAAATTTAAAAATTTTGTCCGCGCTACCCGCTTCGAACTGTTAGAATGACGTTTCCGAGTGTTTTTTAGTTGTGGAAAGCGCGATATACTCACTCGCAATTGTAGAGCAGCGAATCCCCTATCTTGACCGTGAAACAGGTAGCGCCGTTCAAGCAGAACCAGGTGGCGTACGCGGGGGGACACTCGTACGTGTGGAATGTGATGTTGGGGCGGGGGGTGGGCGCCGGCGGTCTTGGTTTCGGGGTCGTCCGCGACGAACATGCCTCTGGAAAAAGACAAAAAGAAAAGAACGATTATTAACCTAAAAAAGACAATGATCCAAAACGATAATTTCCTGAGTTTCTTAAAAATTTGAAAAATTGTCTTTTTTATAATACAATTCAATACAGAAATTGATGTGAACGCTAAGGGTGTTGACGGGCTAAGTAATTATATAATACAAATTTGTTGTCCTTTTATTTCGCCATATATGTTGTTAACTTTTGCAATACAAAATCAGTACATTCGGAGACTTGGAAGAACTTGGAGTTAAAAGATTTGAGGCCAATTAGTGTACTACCATATATGTCAAAAATTGCTGACAAAATAATTAATCAACAGCTTGCCGTTTAGGTGGAACAATATAAAATCTTGACCGAAACCCAGTCGGGTTTTGGGAAACACCGTGGATGTTCTGCTGCGCTAGCCAATGTAAGCGGTGACATTTTAAGAGCCGCAGATGACGTAAAAATAACCCTTCTGACACTTCTAGACTATACCAAAGCATTCGATACATTAAACCATCAAATTCTGCGTGCAATTCTTCATTATGATGGTCTTAGCGAGCAAGCGGTATTACTTTTTAAATCCTTTTTGGCTAATCGTACGCAGAGAGTCTAAGCAAATATTTTTACATCCAGTGTGCAATTAAACGTACACTGGCAATGTATTTATAACTCTCATATGTTTTTAATGAATGATTGTACCAAATATAATAAAGATTCCAAAAAGACCAATTAGATAAAAATGTTCATGTTTACTGTTTTAAATACATATTTATAAAATGACATTTCTACTATTACTTAAAGTTCCCTCAAAACTTTATGCGATAATTTCCTGAAAACTCGATTACTTAATTGTGATACATAACATTTGTTCATATGCTTATGCGTTTAAAAAAAAAAAATCGCGATTTTTTTAAAAACCAGTTAAAACATTTCGGCGCGGGTGACGTAGGCTTTCGCTGATAGTTGTTCTCGCGTATTGAAAAGCAATATCGCGCATTCTTCTCACAAGAGCTTACAATAACACCGAGTGTTTGCGCAAGATAAACCAGAGTACACGAACGCGGCAGCGTCTGATAAAAACGCACCCCACCGAAACCTATAAAGGCGCGTTCACACGTTCCGTTTTTTTTTCCCGCGTTCCATTATACGCGTCACCTGCTTGTCCCGATTGTTTTACGCACATTTTTAATCGATGACTAAGTCGACGCGATGGGGTTTCTTGGAACCAACGTTCGCTTCGCACCGAGAAAGCGCGCGCGTGTGTGTGTATACGTGTCGGAATCCGTGCCGTACATTTTCTCCACGCTTTTATAAATTCCCATCGATTTGCCACCGGCCGCCATGCAGCAGCTCCGATTTGCTGCATTATGATTTGCATAACTATGTCGCACTTTGACTTTGAGTCGATTCCAGGCCGAAGTAAAAAGGACAGTTGGACAACTGCGCCTTTTTACTGTTTCCATCTTTAAGACCCCATCAAAGAAACTCATTTTTTGTGGCTTAATATCTATTAGATAATTTGTAACAATGAATAATTCCGAAAATTTTAAGGATTAGGAGGTCTTTTTCGAGTTATTGGATAAATTCATGATAAATTCATTAATAACATCAGATCTTCTTCTTCTTCTTTTAAAAGCATAGGAAAAATGCTCAATTAAATTACAAAAGTAACAAGTCAAAATAAAAGCCTACGTTACGAGCTATTCTTACAAGTTAACGAGAAAACAAGTAAGCTATGTTATGTTAGGTTACGCTGGAGTTTCTTTATATATTAGTCAGCCAAAGGACCCACCAAAAATAGGTAAATTCGTAAATAGAGATTTTGTGGAAACCCTGGCCGCTTAAACATGATATTACAGAAAGAGATGCTGCTACTTAATAATGTGAACACATGGCGATTTTAAATAGAAAAGTTAAAATAAATATATCGCAAGGCGTTGAAGGTTTCAGAAAAAAAAAGGACGGTCAAGAGGTTTTAGAATACGCAGATTTATTTGAAATTTGAATTTTTCATTACATCTCATCCTTAACTTTTTAACTTTAACTCGAGTATTTCCGATTAAAGTACACGAGGGCGGCAAATTAATGCGGACGCCCTGTACATTTGGCGCAAGGTGAATGAGCTATTTATTTACCGGATAAGCAAATGAGCGTGTCAAAAAAAGCCCCACTCCAGTGACATAATAAACAGTTTTCCCGACTTAATTTATCTTCGGGCTCTCTCTTTGTTGTGTGTAGGCAAACACACACGAGTAGGTCTTCACTTTGTATACAAATCTGGAAACGCACACACTTCTATTATTTATTTATATACCGTGCGAATTGTGTAAACAACGTAATCCTTTGATATCTGTTTCTGTATTTGTGCAGTGTAAATCGGTAAATCTATTTGCTTTGGTTAGTGCGGTGCCTGGGATAAGTCCGCGGAGGGGTATTTTATTAACATGGCGTTATTCTTCATTAAAATTTTGACGGATTTGTTATGTATAAAGGACATTTTTGTATCTGTCGTTTATCTGCCATTTTTATATACAGTAACATGTATCGCGCGTTCGCAAATACCCCGTAAGTCTCTTCTTGAACACTCTTGGGCGAGGCGCGCCCTTAATATTATCCTCCGGCAGTTCATTAAAATTACAAACACCATCGTAGAATAGAGTTTTCTGTAAATTTGTTGTTTTTACCATAGAAACATTGAAGTGCTGATTGGAACGCATATTATATTGATAAAAGTTTGACCTTTTTTCCAACCATAATTTAAGAGAGCCTGGTTGGTGATCGTGCGCAATTCCATAAACCAACATTAAACTTGCTCTTCTAACGAACTGCCCGACATTTAGCCAATTTAGCTGGTCGAACATACTCTTTATAGGAGTATATCTATCACGGTTCAGGATGATTCTCATAACCCTATTTTGTTGTAACTGTAACTTATTTAAATGTTCTTTTGTACAAGATATAAGCAATGAACAAACATATGAAAAATGAGGCAAAAGTATACTATTATACACTAATATCCTAGTCCACTGCGACAAAAACCGCGATACACGGTTAAAAAACCCTATTTTCTTACCATTTTATTTTGCATACGTGATTACTAAAGCATAATTGTGGATCCAAGATCACCCCTAAGTATTTAATCTCGGAAAAAAACTCAATTTTATTACCCTGTATATCCACAGAATACCCCGACTTATAAAATTTTTCACAGTTAACCTTAGAACCGATAACCATGCATGATGTACACACTTTATATTGCAGTCCACTCGTTTTTGACAAATCGGCAAAAATAGGAAATTTTTATAAAATTTCAAAACTGATTGCAACAACAATAATTATTTTCAAATTTAAAGTAGAACAAAACCACTAAAAGTGACAAGACACACTAAAAAAATTCTTCAACTATTCTAAATACCATGTTTTGGTCTAGGATTATTTAAAGACTAATATCGCGTATTTTGCCAATTACAACCCTTTCTTGTACTGTCCATAGAATGTTTTTCAAAAAAATATTATTCTCATTATGTCTACTTAAAAAATCCAACCAAAAACTGACCTTCGACATTGTTCTGCACCTAGTTTTTGAGTTTTACGAAATAAAAATTTAATATTCTTTCAAAACTGAGTGGATTGATCCTTGAGATATAGATATATCTCTTGTCTCTTCATATACTCTAGCAATAGAGGAAACTGGATGCGCTGCAGCCTTGGAAATATCTGTTTTGAAGGAGCTCGGCGCTCTGGATAAAATCTAATATACTGACGATGAGCTGCAGTTGCACTTTTATTATTCAGAACATTTACTTGAAGCATATCACTTCTTTAACGTATGCTAAATTCGCAAAAAAACAATAATGACTTGAACAATAATTCAACCATCAACATTGTTCACTAGTATGTGAAACATGACCATACTTTTATTTGTCAGTTAGGGCACTCTTTGAAATAACATAAAATTTTCTTATTCTTGCCGATTTGTCAAAAACGAGTAGACTAAAATATAAAGTGTGTTACATCATTATAATCGGAATGAGCTATTCTCTTAAAAGCATATAAAATATACAGGGTGTTCTATTTAAAAATATGTCAGAAAATTGCTAGTTTTATACGTCACTTGGAACAAAAATTGGCTACTAACCCTACATTACGTATTTTTTTTACATTGATAACTCTAAAAGCAAAAAAGTTACAATCAATTAAAATGTTATCAAGATAAATTGAACGCACTCATTTATACGTTAATACAAAGTACATTAATTTATTACATGCAGCACAAAAAATAATAAGTCTTTTACCGTCCAAGTATTATTAAGTACACATATTGGGGATTAATGAGTTTGACAGATAGTGAAAGCAAAAGCTACATTCGTAGCGGTTTAAGATTGCACACCAAAAAATAAAAATAAATAAGAACTGAAAGTTCAGATTTTCACGAAATTAGATATAATGACATGACAATTGTTTCGACAACACCGTGTCTTTATCAAAAAAAATTGTCATGTCATAATATATAATTTCGTGAAAATCTGAACTTTTAGTTCTTATTTATTTTTATAAATGGATTTTCATCAAGTAAAAGCCACTTCAGTTCAATTATTGCACACCAAACTGAAACCACTTAAATGCTATTTCTGGTCTGTGGCCTTGCATAGACATTGGCGGAAGCGTCCACAAAGAAACTAGACGTCTTTGACGGACGAATTCTTAGAAAGAGCAAGAAAGAGACCGTTTTAAAAATCCTTCAAAAAGAGACCGAAATAGTGGACATTATTTTAAACGCTATTTCTAAACAAAAGTCAAAGAAATCATGTGGCCCAGATAATATTCCACCATATATCCTTAAAAGATGTGGAGAGTTTCTAATGAGGCTGATGGAGATTTTATTTAATTTGATATTGCACACACGGGCTTATTCGGATTCTGTCTTCTTCTTATAGTGCCGTGACCGTTTAACGATCATTTGGTATCAGGCTGCCCACCGTGTTGACAATCATTGTTT